TTTACCAAAACCAAAGACTCCGTAGTTAGTCTATTCCAAAACTTGAACACAGGTCTCATCCTCAACGTACTCATCTATGACACAATTTTCAACCCGATTATCAAAAACTGTTATACCAATAAATGAATCTCAGGTGTTCTTTCTTGAATTTAAAAATAAATGGTGATTGAAAGTAGAAAAAAAAGCAAGTGCCAACCTTAAAATGTATAATTAAATTAAATTAAATTAATTTAATTATATTTAAATTAATTAAATATGTATAAGCTAACCCGATAAGGAATAGTTATATGTTCCTTTGAAATTGATAAGTCACACTTATTTTATAATTTAAAATTTACTAAGAGCAATAAAGTATAGATTTTTGAACAAAACATTTCAAACGTATCATAAATTCATCATTTTGTTGAAACTATAAAAAACTTGCCATGCAGTGGAGAATCCATTTAAAATCATAAATAATAATGTAAACATTTAATTTTGACAGTTTCAGTAGACCTTTGAATACAATTTTAATATTAACAGCTGGTTCATTAAAAGTAGTGTAAAATTATCCATATGGTCGAAATGTAAACAAAATTGCAGAGTGAACTTTAAAGGCCTCTGGGGCAGAGCCCCAAGGAAATTTACATCGTTTCTCTTTTGAGGGCTCACCTACAGACCAATACCTTTCTTTAGACACCCCTACCAAGTTTCTACGCCCAGCCGTTCTCTCAAATTAGCTGTGACAAAAACCTTGTTTTCCTCCATAAGAATAACATGGGATGGGAATTTAAAGGCCACTGGGGCAGAGCCCCGAGGGAATTCTCCATGTTTCTCTTTTGATGGCTCATCTACAGACCAAGACCTCTCTTTAGACACCTCTACCGAGTTTCTACGCCCAGCCGTTCTCTCAAAATAGCTGTCACAAAGAAAAACAGTTTCAAATTAATATATAGATTTTTAAAAATAGTATCTGGTCAATTTAAAAGTTAAAAAATTAAAAATTAAAATGGGTTTAAGTATATAGCTAAACAGGGCTGTAACAATTTACCCTAAACAAACACATAGACCTACAGAATGACGTTTGTTTCATAAAGGCCTGATGAAACATGCCCATAAAAAATGGAAAATTGAAGAAAAAAATTCAAAATCTCAATATTTAAGTATTATTTTATTACACACAATATATGATTACCAGTAGAAAAACAATCAGAAATTGAGTACGGTATATAATAGTTAGACTAACAATAAACATTAAATTTAATATCACTGGTGCCAAGAGTTGTTTTTACATTTGGTATTCTTTTAACAAATATTAATAAAATTTGGAACAGAAATCGACAAATCATAATAACACAAGTAAAGTATCAAACAATTATCAAGGTAATGTGTGTGTATCACACCAAATATCATAAGACATACAACTTTTGTTGGTCAAAGATGAAGATAAGTATTCAAAGCATCAAATCCTAAATATTAAGTATTAAATGCACATACAATACTGCAGACTCCCTATACTTGGTGAAAACATTGAAATTGTTACAGGGGTACAGTTCCCAAACCACTTAAAATCATCAGTACAACTAATTGTTTACAAACACACAGATTAAAATATTGTCTATGAATTAAATAATTATGAAAATTGCAAGTTTGACTCTTGTTATATATTTATTACTAAAATACAGGTCAATAATAATTACAACAAATATTTAATCAATCATAACAACTTTTTAAAATAGAGTACCGGTAAAAAAGATTTGACAAACTAATTGATATAATAAACTTTGACATATTTTTAAACACAACTTTAAAAAACCAGGATTTGTCAACGTTACATACTTGCATACTTAATTGCAATAATTTGCTACAGAAATGCATCTTTAATATAACATTTTAGTGTCTGCTGTTAGGTATCTTTAAAGTGTTGAAATAATTTACTTTCTAAAACACTGTTACATACATTTAAGTTTTAACCACGATATAATGATTTCCTTGTGTTGTGACTAATCTAAACAGATAAGCATTGAAGTAGGATTTAATCTACAAGTGTTAAAAGATAAGAACACAAATTACATTTTCAGGTATGACTTCTAAAAACTGTTATAACAACTATACAATATCTGAATATAAGCGATCTGTTTGACAAATCTTTCCTATATAAAGTTAAATTGTACATTAACATAGTAAATTTCCTGAAGCAATATACTTAAAAGTTAAGATCGTATACAGTAATGAAGGTAAATTTGAGGCAAATAATCAAGAAGATTGAATAAAGAAAATCTCTCTCTCTCTCCCCCCCCCTCTCTCTCGCTCCTTCCCCCCCTCTCTCTCTCCCAGTTCATTCTTAGTCTCACTCATTCTCACTCAATCAGCTGATTTGGCCATACACTCACGATAGTCTACCTAGCGGCTGCCGCTGGAACTATCCAAAATTAAAATATTCCCAGACTAAATTTTTAACGGAGGCATTGCACTTCTTATAAGTTTGCATTCATTAACAATGATCAGCATCTTCTGGTTTTCTTAAAGACACCTAGGTTGTTGACAAAAAAAAAATTGTAGATTCTTATTAAATGGAATGGTATAAAATCAGGAAAGATAATATAGAGTTAAGGGAATAAATGTTAATTGACTTTCATTAACATGTCTCAATTGTCCAGCTAAAATCCACAAAAAAGCTTAGGCCTACTCAATGTTGTATTTTAACAACTACAATGACACTGTTATCTTTTACAAATCCATTATCCCTATTGACTAGAGCATCCCACACATAAAACTCGGGATACCCCAACTCTCTTGATGAGGGACTAAACGTAGCAGTAAACTTACGGGTTACATCTGCAGATTTTCCACACTGATTGATGAGACTCATCTCACCATCAACTTTACAGTTAAAATATTCAGTTTTCCCGTAGCATCCAAGATGTAATGATAAGAAGTGGTCATCACGCCTGGCAAGAAGGTACCAAAAATGCACACCCCAGGGATGACTTTGAGAGTATTGATTTTTCTTTGTGTCCAAATTTTCCAAAAGAACATAGGAGTGAAAATGTGCAAAATGAGGCTTGTTAAGATATTTCGGATATTCATATAGACAGCTTTTTATACATTAAGCCACAGGATGTCTATAACATCGATTCACTGTTGTTACACTCAAGTATTCAATGTCATGGGGTTTACCCGATACAAACGATCTGCAAATGGCACTTACTTCTTCTTTGTTGAGAATTTCTTTAGAAACAACCCCATCCCAAAATTCATTGTTTTTCATTGTCAAAAAACGAATATCTTTTAAAAGGTAAAAAATGCACTGCCGGAGAACGTTTCCATCCACTGAATCTGTTTTGGATTTGGCCCATTTCAAAACTGCATTCCAGAGCTCAATTTCTTCGACTGGAATAAAGTCCAATTGTAGTATCCACTTTATTCCACCATTATTGACCTCCAAAAATCTTGCATCACTTACTAATCTTTCTAGATTGTAGATCACAATTGAAGTCATTTTGCTCTTGAGACTTGGTGATACATGACAGACTGGGTGGGAAAGAGCAACAAATATGTTCTCAAATGAAAGTGAGACTTCGATATGTCTAATAAATTCATTCTTCAAATCATCTACCAAGTACTTTTCATAAACATAGAGAAGTTTTGCCTTTTCCTCAAAAGTAAGCTTATGTATTATTAGATCCCTTACTCCATAAATACATTTTAGAAAGTTTCTGAATGTATCTGGTTCCACATCATTTACTCGGATATCGCCTTTTTCAGCCATTTCACCATCTCCTAACATAGATCTCAAAGGTTCACTATAACCCATTAGAAGGGTTTTCATGGCACCAACCCTTTCAATGGGGCCACTTTCAGGGCCAACAACAAAAAAACAGTCATGCTTTGCTTCAGTAAGCCAGTATTTTACATGATTTGGAAAATTTAAATCTTCCATTTTTTAATAATGGTTTTGAACAATTCTACCAGTTTAAGTTGACATTGTTTCCTAGTTTGTATGCTTACACAATTAGTGACAAAACAATTTATGAGTAATAATAAACTATCGTTTGAACAGCTTAAAAGTCCTTACGGTTGATGGTTGATGTATACCAACGCTGATGGTGATGGCCTCCTACTGACTGATAAGTAGAAGCTGATAACATAAGTAAGTTTTGATAGTGGGGAGGAAACCATTAGATAATAACAAAACAAAGTTTATCTAGTTGTTGAGAGCCAACTGACTCATACATTGGTGACATAAATATATATATATACAGAGTGTCCCAAAACTCTCTACCCAATATTTTATAGCATTTTTCCTGAGTAAGAAACATGTCTAAATATCATATTTAAATTGTTGGGATGTCAATTTAATTTTTTTAAATCAACGGTTTTTGAATTATTTAAGATTTTAAATAGCCGCTATTTTGTTTTGTGAATTTGAAAAATTTTCTTATTGTAGCTTTGTCTAGTTCTGTTGTCATAAATGTTTGTGCAAAGTTTCCATTTCATATTTATAACAATTTTTTTTATTAATAAGTACAAAAAAACAAAATGGTGGCTGTTTGAGTGACAAGGACTTCTGGACAATTTAAATGATATTTAGATATGTTTCTTACTCAGGAACAATGTCCTAAATTAAATATTGGTAGAGAGTGCCAGAACATCCTGTGATAGATAAATAAATAAAATAAAAGTGTGAAATAAACAAAATTAGACAAATATCCAAGCAAGCAAATCACAATAGTTTATTTATTCCACGATCACCTAATTCAATTAATTCAAATTGAATAAAATCAAAATAATTCAATATATGGATAATCCACAAAAGTCAAAGTGTTAACAAAATCTAAAATAGTTTTTCTTTGTTATATATATATCAATGGATTTTTTAATTACTGTAAATACAAAAAAAAAATGAAGAAGTAGGCCTAGTTTAAGTGAATGGCCATACATTAATTTGGAACTAAACATTTTCACAGCAAACCCAAATGAAAAAGATTACAGTAGAGTGTTCTTATTACTTTTTTCAGTTTAGTGCAAGAAAAACTAAAAGGAAAAGGGGTTGTGAGCTTAACAGCTGATTTGATCAATGTGACTTGGTCTTACATCTACTTCAGACCTAACTCCACTTCGTGTGAAATCAAGGTAAACTGTTGAGCTATAGTCTGACTGATGGAACATGTCTCCTGACCCTTTGTCTACCTGGGACTGGCCTGGGCTTTAAACCATTGGCCAGGCCCTAGGTAGAAGAAGGGTCATGGGACAGGTTCCATCATACATACTATATTAGATTAGTTTAGGTAAACGTCAATACAACAGAGTGTGTATTTTAAAAAGAGGTTGAATTAAGAACGAGTATTGCATGAATGAAATGATAGCTTTGTTGTCTATGATCATATGGTTCTTCTGGTTTTCTAAAGAATTAAAGAACTAACTTCTGATTACTGGGTGAGCATCCTAGAAAATAATGTTTCTGTAAGGAGTTTCTTAGTATTGTTGACTTCATTTAGCAAGTAGAAAAATGTTTGTTAGCTACTATTTGTTCTCTGGTATCATAACCAAAACATTAAGTTCTCACAGTCATTTACCCTAAGACAAAAGGTAAACATCAACGCATATTCATGTGTTACAACCATGAATCATACCAAAACATCACATTTTACAATGATTTGAAATCTACTTGCGCCATCCAAAATCAATGATCAAACCAAAACACTGGTTGTACAACTGGTTTATGTAAATGGAGTATACATCTCTGTACAGTATATGTATTAAATATTTTTTTTTAGTTTAATCAATTTAGTTTTATAGCCTACTGTTTACTTTGAAACTCTTTTTATCTTTTAGGGTCTTAATGATTCAGCTGATCCGATTCTGTCCAAAGTATTGAAGTCTTCTAATTTCAGTAAGTATTGAAGCATGTTTGTTGATATCTTACTTAAAGAAAAATATATATAATCTTTGAAACACTTCCAGTGAAATACTAACACCATCAAACCTTTTTTTTACACATGCAGTAGATGAATTTGCAAAATTCATCTAATTATTTTCAACTGGTTTACAAATTGGAGTTTATTTATCTTTTCAAAATAGTCATAGTTAAATAGACATATGGAAAATAATTCAATAATCTAAATACATATGCAATTTTACTTTTTAGGTGAACTATTAAGCACCAAATTGCAAAGAGATATTAGCTACCAGTTGACTGAAACAATTACGAAAACTATCAACGAAAATTTGTGGCGTTCTTCAAAGTTAAAAGATCTTCAACCTTATGCTGATGAAATAAGGTTAGTTTCAGTTACTACTTAATTCAATTCTTTGTTACGTTTGCTATATTCAAAACATCCGACAACAATGAAAGTTCAACAGCTGATTAACGTTAATTTGTATTTATTGTGGTCAACTACGGGTTTCTCTTGGACACAAAACCTTACCTACCTTTTTGAAATCAGCTGTTTTATAATTATTCTTTGTATTGCTTTCAATTCATACTGTATTCTTTTCCAGTGCAATTGGAATAAACAATACTGAAAATGCTAACTTGTTCATCGATAATATACTGAAAGTGGGAGGAACCTTGATAAGACAAAAGTTTGGTGACCGAATTAAAATTCCAGATATTGAAGAAGGATTTGCAACAAAAGTAAGTGCAATCTATGAACTAATGAAGTAGTGCAGATAGATAAGCAAGCTTTCCTTTTCACCATTTTTGACGACTATGTAAGACTAATCGTTCCATGGGAGTTGAAACTGACTAGAGTATGTGTGGTGAAGTAAGGAACACAACGCTGGTTTCAAATTTGAGCTAGCTTGTTGCGACATATTCTCGATGGAGACCTTTAATTTACAAAAGCTCTCGTATATATAGATTTTAAATTTATGAACAAGTCTATTAAACTACTTTTAGTTTTGAAAGTTGTGACGCTGTATGCGGATGTCTAGGTCCTTGTGACATTCAAGGGGAGTTTCCGAGCGACGGATGGAGTTGCTGTCGGAACTTCGTCAGTTTCGCGAATCGGAGATGTTATCTTCGGCTACAACAACGAGTCGCTGTTGCACTTCTACGGAGCTCTTGGTTTTCAAGACCTTCATGTAAGAATTTTCAATATCAACGTTTGTTATATTTTAACTTAAATAATTGAATACTATAAACTTCTCGACTACTCTAAAACCTAAAAAAAATATCAAAAATATAGTAGAAAAAAGTCCTAAACAAATATCTAATTTTTTTTTATTTATTATTGTCTTCTTTTATAATTTCTGTGTCTCCATAACTATTTTTATTTACTGCTGTATTAGAACGCTTGAAAACTGTCTGAACTGATTTGAACTTATAGTTTATAGCTTTCACTCTGTCTACTTTGTGATTTTAGCTGTCTTGTTCCAGCTGCACTATGGCTACTACAAGGCAGAGATGTGGGGAATGGGACCGTCTGGCTCTTTGGACACTTCTTTGGCTCCCCTCAGAGTACTGGCTCATGTGTTTTTGAATACTACGTCCAAAATGATCACATTGAGCAAGTTGAAAATCATAAGTGTCGGGTAAGTGTTGGAAATATACACCTAGTGCCAACAAGTAGTGTCTTGATGTAGTTGTGCAGCAAGATTTCTTGACACTTGGGCGAATATTTGGTATCTCTTGGCTTGGATCTATCATGCGTTTTGTATCTTTTTAACTGACTAAGATCAGATGTTTATTTAGCAAATACAATCCATTTATCAATTTCTAACTAAAAAACGTTATTAATGTCATTGGTATAGATAGACTAACAAACTTACCTTTTAAAATGGAAAGATGCTTATTTCTGTTACCTTTGGCATTTGCAGCGCTGTTCTTACCCAGACCAATTTCAGTCATGAGCAACTATATTATATGTTGTTTTAAGTAAGGCTACATCTTTTAATAGGATACGCATATTCGTAACGGAAAACTCTGACTAATCTTCCTGAAGGTAACTTTAAGGCTAGAATCGTAGTATTCATGGAAGTGCTTTGAATTTGTTTTCTAAATTCATATGTTATTTTGCGGGGCATTGAGCCGCACAGGTTCACTAGTCCATTTATAAATTTCTAACTAAAAAACGTTATTAAGAGTCTTCCTTAGTGGTAGCCATGTTGGATTTCTTCCCCATAAGAACAATGTTAAACATTACATCATTTGTGGACACGTAACGGCGTTATTTGTTAAGATATAGCTTTGAAATTTATAATTTGTATTTTTAACATAATAGACTCGTGACTGAGGTTTTTGAATTTCAAAAATCCATTTTCATTTCTTTTCAATAATTAGCTTAATTTTAAGCTAATTAATAATCAATTATTCATTATAAAAATTAAAAATTGTGAAATAAAAAACGTCAATCTCTAGAGGACCGCAATTCCTTAAATTTAACTCCTTATCCATAATTATATGACAATTTGCTGATGAGATATTTGGACCCAAAGTTAACATTGTTCTTATGGGGAAGAAATCCAACATGGCTTCCACTAAGGAAGACTCTTAATGTCATTCGTATAGATAGACTAGACACAATAAAAATCAAAAGAATGCGTGAACTTTTGAAAAAAAATACAGGTCACACCAACATGAACTGCTTAAAACCTTGACAACAAAACCTTACTTGGATCCAAATTGCCCTTTAAGATCACAATCCCTTTCTAAAGGGGAATTTGTATACATTGTGTTAAAAAATTAAAGGACTGTATTCAATTATTTTAATAGCAGTCTTTGTGGTTAAATAATCTTTTTTTGTTGCCTGCATTCTTGAGTAGTGTTTTTATATACTACTCAACAACAGAACGTAAAACTATATTAATGTAATCTAAGTTCTTAAACCTGGGTCCTAGATAACAGATAAATATTAAACAATGCTAGGCAACTTGATGCATTTCCAACTGACCCGAACAGAATCTGATTCCAATTCCTACTTTAGGTACGATACGACACTCCTGTTGGTAGCAAAACACTTATGCATTCCCAAATTTTAAATAAATGGAATTTAGAACTTGCCATAACCCAAATAAATATGTATATTCACACTGAGCATGTTTTGCGTAGGGATCTAACCGTGACCCTCACAGGCCTCGGAGGAATGATGGACTGGTTAATATCCAGAGTAACCACATGGGTCGTAGGCATGTACAGAGATCAAGTACTTCAACTACTTGAGTCACAATACGAACAATACCTCAAGGACGTCTTCAGCTCCTACACATTGGAAGAACTTCTGAATGGAGGGAAGAATGAAAACTTTGTCATGAAATAAAATTTTATAAAGTTTTCTCATTGTGTTAAAAGGTTATTTTTTGAAAGGTATTCCCCAAAAGTAGTTTTAGGATTTTTCATAGGTAGGTAGCCATCGTTAAAAGTATACGATTGAGATGGGCAGGACATGTCCAAAAAAGAGGATAAAAGTATACTTAAGAGGACTACTAATGGGCAACCACATGCCACTCGTCCGCTGGGAAGACCAAAGTTATGGTGGAATGACCGAGTCCTTATGGACCTACGGAGAATTGGGGGCAACTCTAGACCTAGCTGATAGGCTGCAGTAGAGGCATCTGGTTGGCAAGGCTAAAAACCTTCAGTTTGAATGGCCAAGGAGGTAGGTAAGTAGCTATTGGTGGTCTTCATCGTATTTAGGTCCAGGACTGTAGTACATTTTTGTTTCAGAGTTATTCCCAGAAGCAAAAGACAAACATTTGTCCAAATTTTGTACATGTACAGTAGAACACCTCATATCCGACCTCAGAATAACCGACTCCCATAGTGACCACCATCTCTTGTTTCCTATCTGGAGCGATAACACCAGGTGAGATCGGTTAACCAAAACGCTCACCGTGTTGCCTTGGTTGCGGGAGATGATTACCGAAGTCAGAGAGACTGAAAATTACGCTCACGGGTGTTACCGCCGTCGTGGGAGATGATTACTGAAGCCGTGGAGACTGCAAGTTATGCTCCTACCAATATCCAACCTTTTTGCTGTTACGACCAAGGCCCGGTCCCGTCATGGTTGGATATGAGGGGTTCTACTGTATACAAGTATAAATTTACTGGGTTTGGTATAGTTTTACTAATTTATAGTAATTAGTATAAAAATAATAACCCTTGTTTAGGCATGCGTGTTACGTGTTTTAAATGTTTTTATGTTTTGTAAATATTGTGAACTTTGACGACCTTCGGAAGAAGTGACAATGTCCTTGGGAAAACCTGAAGAAGGCTCCAATTGTGAGCCAAAACTAGTTGTTTCACAACCGATTGGATTATCAACATTACAGGTATTCAAACCACTTTAACCTTGATTAGTTTACCTCGTATTAGTGTTTATTACAACTCAACATAATCCCACAGTTAATAAAATGGACATGGTCCAATATTAGGGGTAGAAAAGTTTTAGGTTTGTTGTAGGCGCAAAGGAAGGACGGAGGGGGCAAAATTATCTCTTGGTCCCGTCTCATAGCACATCACGAGCCTACAATCCCAGTGACAAAGAGAATTCCCAACAGCTTGGTATTTAACTTGAAAAGAAACCTCTATTTTTTAAAAAAATAGTGGTTGTCCAGCCAAAAACAATAGTATTATTAGAGAGTAATACATAATATTTCATCAGATGGACGCTTAACATGATTGAACTAATATTTTTCAAAATTAAAACTTTTATGATTAAAAAATTGATTGTAAAAAAGTTCAAATTCAGCATGTAAATCAGATAATATGACTACCCATAACTTATTTTTATTGTGGTTAAATAAAAATAGTAAGCTACACTATTGATAAATCAGTGAAAATTTACTGGAATCACAGTTTTAAGCAGTAAAATATTTCATTCTCAATAAGAGCACAAATATATTATCAGACTAATCTGTTATCAACATTGTTATCAGTAAATGATCTTTGACAAGTGTCCATTTGCTAATGTAATTCCAGGTAGAGACTTAACATGAATAAGTTTGTGGTTTTTACATTGTACTTTGGAATTACCTCCATCGCCTTTACAGAAAGTCTCTTCATATACAAGTAAGTCAAAGCATTAATTTAGGATAGTGAAGTAAACATTCTAATGGACGAGCTCTTTACTCCAAGAGTTCCAGACAAAGGAGCTTTTTACAAGTGTGTTACTATTTTCAATTTTTTTAGTCTTTCATTGTGGACATAAAAGACTTTATATTTTACAATAAGTTGCATTTTCAGTTTCGGATGGTTATGAAATTAGTGTAATAAGAACAAAATAGTATTTTACAACAGCAAAGTATCTTGGTGAATTTATTTACTAAATTTTTAAATTCTAAAACTGGGTAATTGCTTAGTCTATGGTAATAGTCTTAAGCAGTTTTTTGTTAGTTAACATTTTATATTAGTTTTAATAATTTAATTTAGCATTTATTTTTATTTTTTTTAATGTTTTTCTTTTGTTGTAAAAGTTAATGATACAAATTTAATTTTTTTAACTTTTGCCGCATTCAAGCTTTAGTGACACTGGTTCCATTCAGCTGATAGTGGCTGAATCGACTAGTGTTAGTACGAGTATAGCCCTGAGGTTGGTATACTTTGAATCCCATGTGTCCAATCTATATTCAGCCAACCAAAGTGTGGTTTTAGCTAGTGGGAGGGCCAAACTTAAATAAACTATGTCGGTTGAAAGTTGACGGAATTAGTGAGTTTAATGAGGATTGCACGCAAAACCTTTTTTTTCTTTTTACACTAGTATAGAGGAGGAAGACACCAATTTTTCTTTTTGCAAATATTTTGATTAAACATTGTGTGTTTAAATACATATGTGATAAAAGACACAAAAAGAAGTAACTTAACCTAAAAAAAATACATTAAGGAATTCTTAGAAAACATCTTGTGTCAATGCGGTAAAACACAGAGAGTGGAGAGAGAGGTAAGGTACAGGGGAAACTTTTCAATTGTACGCTTAAGTGGTAACTAGCATTAGTCGCTGGTGTCTACGGCAAAGTCTGACCCTGACCCCCTAGCCCTCTTGTACTACAACGCCCACGGTGGAGGAAGAACCTGTGCCATGTACGATAGGGATTTCCACCCAGATCTCGCTGCTCATGCTCTTCCTTGCTCATCTCAAGTATATTTCCAACACAACATGCTAGAGCTGAAAGCACACTGTCGTACCCTACCCTACCAAGTTTCATCTGTACCCTACTTCTCTATAAACTATGTAACTTTCTGTCTTGTGTATAAAACAGATTAAACTACAGAGTAACACCTGAGCCGACAATATCTGCGCCGGATTATGATGGCATTGTCTTCGTATCAAGTCAGCAGCCAATTAATGATTCGGTGATACCAGAAGCAATCAGCAATGCCATCTCTAAGGCTGCCAAGGTAATACATTTTCAACCTTTTTAATTCATCCTTATATAGTTATAATATGTAATTTAGATTCAACTATGATCATTGCAATTTTAAAGGTGTAATAGCTTTAACATGGGGGTAGAATGTCTAGATATATTAATAGTCAAAGCTAGAATGTAACCATTGCAACAGTCTCAATGTCTAGGTGAACGGAGCTCTATACAAAGAGGGCGGAGTGGTAGAAGTTGACGGGATACCAGCCGGGCGACTTGTGTACGCTCCTGTAGGACCTCTCACTGACTACCATGACGTCAGGAGCTACGGGGAAGCCGCTAAGAAAGCCATAGAAAAGTAAGTATTTGTGGAATTATGAAAAGTTTTTTACAGGGTATTGTTTTTGTCATACATAACATTTTCGAGTTTGAGTTTTGGGTGGTTCTATCTTTTTTGGTCCCTGAACCCAAAAAAGTCGTGTCTGTTTGTGTAGATCTGAAGAGAGCTACAGACTACACCTGAAGTCAGAGTTTGATGAAATTTGGTACATGGTATCTCCAGGCGTATTTTTTTTTTAATTTAAATTTTTAATGGCAATTTTACCATAAAATAACAGGAAATTAGGATTTTTTACAAAAAACATACAGTACTAGAGTATTTATTTAAAATGCTATGGTGCTCTAAATTACAAAGAAAATGTTACAACCCCCAATGCTATAAAACTTTTTGTTCAAAAGTTATTGCAATTTTTATGATTTTTCCTTGGACATTTTATAGTTCCTCCCACCACTTGCAATAAGGCTTGTTGACAAGCTAATGCGAGAAAGTTTGTGTCAGATTGCATATGCCGTTTTTTATCAGTTTAGTGATGGTGTTTCTTGCTTCAATAATGTTGAACGCTACTAACCGACCATCCGATCGTGATGAAACTTTAGGGAAGTAAATAAGTTCAATACAAAATGAACAGTTTTATTAGCCACTTTGAATAATATTTTATGGTTTTGGGTTCCATTTCCCAGTTGTCAAAGACAATATTAACAGTTGACACAAACATTTTTGGTTTAGTTTTTTGTTTTCAAAAAGTCTCAATTATAGATAACGTTATCCCTGGTTTTAATATGGTATACAGTGCGTGCATTGTAGAGGCTAAGAAATAAGCCAAATGTGTGTATTGAATACTGGCTTGGAAATATAGTGTGATCAACTTTATTCAAGTAATAATAATCAGCTTTTATAGCTTCCAATGCTTATGGAGAACATGTTACGTTGTATCTTAATTTCGGTTAACATTTTGGGAATTCCAATATTTTTCCCGCCGTCACGGCAAGAGACCTTTAATTTAAGCCTTCTACCGTTGTTTTACCACATCCCAGTCGCCCACAATTTCGACGCAAAATAGCTATTAATGCTTCTAAAAGTTTAAATAGGCCTATTTGTATTATGGTTTTATATTTTACAGGGCTCTCAAAGCAAACATCAAAGCCCCGCTGCTGATATTACATCCCAATTCAAATCCAAAATTTCCACATGCTGAACTAGTCACCTTATTGGGGGCTTTAGAAGCTTTATATGTCGTAAGTATTTGAATTTAATTATGTGTCTTATCAACTAAAACCAAATTGCTTGGAAATCAACAAAATTACTTATGTTTTTGTTGATAGATATTTTTTGTGGTGGTAAGTGTATGTTTTTTATTAGAGGGATTCCTGTAGACAATCCACATAAAAATTTGATCAAAATAAGTTTTCACAATGTTTTGAGATTTGTTAAGATTTACTTTCTACCCTAAGTAGGATATCAAATTTCATACCACAAAATGGCATAAAAACTGGATTTTACCAACAGTCTCAAATATTTGTGTTACCAATACCATGAAAATTATGAATGTTTATTTCCAATACATGTAGAGCGTGATGATGTTTACAATATATTTCTTACTATTTCACAAATTTAAAAACTTAAATAATAAAAAAAACTATTTACCTGTAAACTATTGCTTATCTTATTCTATCATAAAAAAGGCAAACACAAAAGACGTCAAAAAGCCAAAAACTCCCTCTTTATTACATCCTAGGACGCTAGTTTGGGCCCGGAACTGTTTAATACATTACTTCAGGCTAGTTCTAGAGGGTTTCGGCATTGTGATAAACAAATCCATTGGTAATTGGTGGGATTTGAACCCAGGACCTCGGGATCCGAAGCACCATGCTCTACTACTAGACCAGCTCGTTCCAGTAACAAACACCCTCTATGCATACTGGATTTTAAGCTTAAAGCATAAAAGACACTTAAGATTTTACAAGTCAATGTTAATTCTCATTAACAACTTTTACAGTTAAACTGTTATTTATGGAGTTTACTTTTTACTAGCCACTGCCTGTGATTTTAGAACATTCAATACCGAGAAGATTGTCCAGACAAATGCCCGAAGGTGAAGAACCTCGGAGTTTGGGGTCCGGAGTACACAACTACAGTGGACATTGTAAACATGGCTGCAAACCTCGAGGACGGAAGGTAAATTAATAATAAATAAAGGTTAGGTTTAGTGTGTCGTTAAATTGTTTTGATTTGAAGTATATGAAGGGAAGTATATTTCATTACCAGTACCGAAAGTAGCATTTTCCAGTGCACGCTCAAGTTTCATGTGGGAGGCAACACCGAATACAGGAACACCAAATTTCACGTCCAAATAATTGTCCAAAAATAGTTGAAACTAGATTGTAAAAATAACTGTACTGTACAAAGTTCAGGAAAATCACTTTTGGTTCAAGTTCTAAACGATACGGTGTGGTCTCGATAGAAGAGTAGTGAGGCAAGTGAAAAACATAGTGTTAGTGTCAGATTTGAACCAGCTCCTTTGGCTGCAACTGAAGCTCATTAGGAGACCTTAATTTACAGACAGCATTTCAACCAAAGATTGATGAACGCCTCTGAATTCGTAAAGCAATATTCTCAAATTTAAATTCAAACATGTACAATTTGTTGGCAGGATCGTAGCCCGAGACATCACAGACGCAGACCCGGAGCGCATGTCTCCACTCCGGGTGGAAGAATACATCCGGGAAGTGTTCCCTCCAGAGAGTGGAGTCAACATCTCCGTTATCTCCGACCCGGAGCAGCTCAAGAAGGAGTTCCCTCTGTTTGCCGCCGTCAATAGAGCAGCAAGTAGTCAGTAATAACCATTGTTCGAATATACGAAAGTGTACTTAAATAAAAATAAGGAGTTGTGAATGCTAGGAGTAAAGTAGGGCAACAATTTTCTACTAGGGAAATGAATAATAGTTTTAGATGTTATATATAAGTTTGGTGGTGGTAGAAAAATATACAAAACTAAATATCTGAGTGCATGGTTTAGATATTGTCTAGTACTATGTAAGTATTTAACATGAGAGTTTAAACTGAGAGGATTTTACAGTTAACGAGAGAAGGTTAAACAGAGTATTATCTAACGCTTTTTGGGAAAACGGTTCAAAACTATGTGTTTGGTGGATATCCCGGGAATTGAACCCATCCCTCCCTCGCCAAAATCTGAGACAATAAACATTAGGCTAACAACACACTTACATCATTTTTTTGTAATGTTATCTGATAGGCCCGAGCTGGTCTAGTGGTACAGCGCATGACTTTGGTCCCTGAACTTCCGGGTTCAAATCTCGCCGAATCACCAATGGATTTTTTAAGTGATTATGCAGCCTCTAGGTCTAGCCTGAACTAATATGAAAAAAATGCCAGGAAACTACCTAAATGCCTAGCGTACTAGAACAAAAATGTTATTTAATATTTTTCACAGCGGTGGAGAGGCACGCAGGACGCATCATATTCCTGACGTACGAAAGCAACACTCCCGTGGTGGACACCGTATTGTTGGTAGGCAAGGGAGTGACTTACGACACTGGCGGAGCGGACATCAAAACTCAGGGCTACATGGCGAGCATGTCCAGGGACAAGGGAGGAGCCGCAGCTGTGGCAGGCTTCATGAAGGTGACTATCAAAGTCAGGTCAAGTTTGATTGTCAAGGTTGTTTGACTATCAAGTCAAACTAAGCCATCAAGGCTTAGTTAATTATTTCGAGAACTATGAGTGTTGGGTAGAAAGTTTAATTCAGATTTCCTTAAGCTTACTTTGAGGTCAAATTTTTTTCCCCATTTTTCGCTAAGTATAGTTTGCCATTAGAGCAGTCGGGAAAATGGCGCCCGGTGACCTATACTTCCCATTCGACAGCAAAAATAAATTTTTTTTATTTTTAATTTTTTTATTAATTTTTTTTGTTAGTCTAGGTCGCCATTTTCAAGCAGTCGGGAAAATGGCGGGCAGCGACCTATACTCGCCATTTGACCGCAAAGGGTTAAACCTAAACCTATTTAGGTCAAGATTGTTTTTAATTTGAAACCATAAAACTTTGTAAGTCAATAACTTGTTTTCACAGAACGTTATACAAACCAGCAGAGCTGGGAAACAGGTGGAATAGTAATAAACAATTAAAGTACATAACTAAAAATACAAAAATATAATTTAATAAAAGTTTTGATACAACAACTAACAAATTCACCTGCCATTTAAAATTCTTGCTAGGTAATTTAATTTTGTTTATCACTGTAAACTGGTTCATGCTGTGAATAGCCTAAATTAATTGAATTGTAAAAAAATATCAAACCAAATAAAATTATTACTTCTGTTGTACAAAATCTCAAAATCAATTCGCAAAACCTGAAATTACAAATTTCAACCAAAAGTCTTCTGAAGTGCCATTTTTGAGGAGGTGGGGGGAGTTGATTAACTGTGTAAGTTGTGCAGCGTCCAAAACAATCAGAAAGTTAAAGCATTGACTATGTCAAAGGTTAGTGTGCAAGTGCCTAAAGTCCTCGACACAAAATATCTTCTGAGTACATTAGGAGGGAAAATATTACCTCGACGTACCCACTATAGTTACCCCACTTCAATCAATCAATCAATCAATAAATCTTTATTCAATACATACAACAAGTGTACATGAATGTGTCATCAACCTAAAACTACTTCACATGATTTCACCTACTTCCCTACTTGCTTAGTCATACAGTTTTTTTGTTACAGTGTTCAAAACTTTCTAAACTATAAAATTCGCTATCTCAATTAAAAACCCCTTAAGTTTATTTTTGAATTTATTTACGCTACTTTCGTTTCTAATACTGCTGGGGAGGGAATGCATGAATTTGATTCCAATATAGTTAGGACTTTCCTTAAATTTTTCTTTTTTATGTTTTTTAGTTATGAAGTTTAGTTTGTTTCTAGTGTTACTTGGAAAAAGCATACAATTTCTTGCAAGGCCGGCTTTGATAAATTTGCCCGGATCCAAGGGTGAAAGAGGTTTTAGGTTTGTTTGGGAGCAAGGACGAGAAATATTCCCCTACGTAAGTGAAGAGGGGCGCAATTATCTCTCGGGCCCTTAACGCATCATATGCAAACCGCAGGTTTAATCTCTTGGTACTAAATTTTTCACAAGGGCCAAATAACACAGAAGGTCGGATGAGATTCTACTGTACATGAGGCAAACAGGTTGAGATCCTAAAGCAAAGTTACAACAAACAAAAACTTTGCATCCTATAAGGTAGACAGTTTTCAATGCTGACATACTAAGGTGCATCTTTCATGTAGAAGAGTGAAAAATGAGTAAATGAGACGACAGCTCAGTAACTAAGATCAGCTGTTTTTTTCAGAATCATTTAGCAAGTCGAATGTTCAAGGACAGCTGGGTCGAGTTTCAAACCATCAAAGAGATTTTGACTTTTCACAGGATCGAACTAGCGACCTTCTGATTCCTAATTTTGTGTTTGCCACAGGTTCTAGCGGAGACCAGGGTGGGAGGTTTGAAGGTTGTGGCAGCACTGTGTCTGACTCGTAACAGCGTCGGGGAGAACAGCTTCGTAGCTGACGAAGTCATCACGGCTCGCTCCGGCAAGAGAGTCAGGGTCGTAAACACTGATGCCGAGGGCAGGATGGTTATGGCCGATCTGCTTTGTTATGTAAGTGGAAATTATTTGTTGTGAATATTTTATTCAAAACATGTGTTTAGATGAAATTCTCTTAGAGTTTTCGCTTTTTGAAATAGTAGTTATAGCGACAGTAAAAAGAACCTCTATTGTACCTCTGGTGTATTGTTTGAGAATATTAATTTTAAGGGATTACCAATTTTATGGCATTATTAATTTAAATAGCAGTCAAATGACCTATTTATGTTTTAGGGTTTTTAGAAAATAATGTGAAAAATTAACAGAATATACAACCTCTCTTATCCTTTAGCCCTCTCTTAAAATTTTGGCCTTTTAAAGTGGCAGTTATAGTGGTAGTCAGAAGAACCTCTATTGTACCTTTGGTGTGTATTGGGAATAATGGAATACAAATTTTTAAGGGAATATTAATTCAAGTAGCAGTTACAATCTTGATGCTCTTGATACTCTACGGTCTTGACCTTTTTTATGCGTTTGGGTATTTTGGAAAATAATTTAAAAGCTAACAGACTAAAGAACCTCTTATTATTTTGGTCTTTTGTGGCAGTTAAACACTACAATCAAGAAAATCTATCTTATTCTTTAGGTTTTTTAAGACAGAGTTTAAGATAACCTGTAGCTGAATATCTCTTTTAGTTTTGTTATTTTGAAGAGACAGTGAAAATAGTTTTAACTTTAGTTTACAATGGGCTATGACAAACCATTGTATTTATTCTTTGAATATGAGTATTTTGAAGTAGCTGTAACTTGCTGTCAATAAAAACCTCTCTTCTACTTTGGGTCTTCTATCTTAAAACTATGTACACTAAAGAAAATTTACATCTAAGACCTAGAGAGCAAAGCTAATAAAGAATTAATAATACAACAAGAAAATTGTTTTGTCCTTGAGAAACTTCCTTATGACTAATTTTTACCAATATATCGAGCTTACGGAATGTTAAAATTTGATCATTTCTAGATGAAAGAGCTTGTGGAGAAGGGAAATGTAGAAAACCCTCACATAATATCAGTAGCCACGCTGACAGGCCATGCATTGTCCAGTGTGGGGCCAGGGTACAGTGTGAGTATAAACAATTTTTTTACTATCGACTTTGAATACTGAAGAATGTATTATTTTTGAAAAAAGTTTATCAGCCGGTTAAATAGCTTAGTTTTTGTCTTTGAAAGTGATAGCGGTCAGTTAGCTTACATGTGAAATGGAGTATAGGTCACGGAAAAAAATAGCCATATTTGATTTTGTTATGGTATAGGATTTCTTATTAGATTTTTAAATTAGACCTTTGACTTTTAAAGTTTTGATAAAACTAAATGTTCCATCCCCTTGTTAAAGTCGTCACCAGTTTTATAATCAAAATGGACGTAGTTGAAGTGAATCACCAGCAATTGCAATGATTTAAATTACAAATTTCTTTCATATATGCAGACTTTTTAACCGAATAAAACTGATTACCTATTTCTTTTTTCTACCGGGTTAACTTCCTCATTGACTTTGCTATACTGTTTGACATTATATTTCCTCTTTAGTTGTGGCGTTCAACAAGTTTGTATACAATTTTGATATTTCATTAAAAATCTCTTCATCTTTTACTATTACTTTTCACAACAGATTGTCATGAACAATGGACCAGCAGCAAAGAGTGCAGAAGGGAAGATTTTCAAAGAGTATGGTGAAAAGATTGGGGAGCCACTGGAAGTTAGCACTCTGAGAAAAGAGGACTTTGATGTTTACAAAGGTAATTGTGTATACTGGTTTACTGTAATATTATCATGATAACTTAGAATAAACTTCAACTACCTCTGAACTTTTTTGTCATATCCTACCTTTTTCAGGGACGGCTCAAGGAGATGATTTGGTAAATTCAAACAAAAACTCAAGAGAGACAGGGAGAGGTCATCAAGGGCCTGCAGCCTTCTTAATAATGGCATCTGGTCTGGACAAGGTAAAGAAGAAGAACTGTAATATACTAAACTGAATAGATGACAGTTAATTATCTTAGTACTTGGTTGATGACTTAGAGTGAGATAGATGTTTCTAATAAGTCCAACAATCAAGGATAACTGGCCCAGTTTTATACTATCAAAAATGCTTTCCTCAGGATTTAATGTTGAATAGACAACCTTTTGATTGCTAGGCTTTCCACTTCAACCCTAACTTAACACGTTTGCTGCAGCCCATTAATGGCAGGCGTAGCCCCGGTGTGGCGCTGCTTCTAACGGACCCGATTGCCAGGCGATTGGCTTTTAGATTTTGTTCTGACGAATAGCAAATAGCATGCGGTAATGTACTGCGTTATGACGAGAGTTGACGTAGTTCGCTAAAATACCCACAGATAGAGCACTGCTTGGAACGTATCCGGTCCCATTGTATTGCCAATTTTGGGAGAAAGACGGGACAAGTTGATTTCTAAGCTTGCCAGACGGTGATTTTACAGGGAAATTTACTACCTACAAGGTAACAAAAAGCAAGTCACACACAACGCGAGATTTAAGTGTACAAGGTACGAGCAACGCTGACAGAGAAACAAAGATATACGAAAGGCATTGCCGAGTGTTCTCGATCGGGTATGGTAGCACCCAACGGGCGCCGAGCACCGTACCCTATTGGGAACGGCCGCATACAACGTGTTAAGGCCCGCAGTTTGCATGTCATACGCAATGGGCCTAAAGATAATTGCGCCCCTCTCCACCTCCCTTGTGAGGATATCTTTCTCCTCCCTGCACCCCCAACTAACCTAAAATCTCTTGTGTCTGCAGCCTAATTCATAAAAATGTGTAATATGTTTCAGCATGAGTTAGACTCGGCGGTTCCCATCAAGTTCTCCCACTGGGACATTGCGGGGTCTGTGGGAGACCTGCCTGGCCCCGCTACGGGGGCTCCGGTCCTGGCACTGGCCAACCGGTTCATCATGAGACTAGAGGACCCTGCAGAGGAAGGCTTTCACTAAACGGTAAAAACTCAGAGAACTGGAGCAAATAATTAAAATGGATAGAGCAAATAAACTGATCAAATGAAGCCAAACTGGAATAAATAACCAAAAATAGGAAGAAAATAGATTGAGCAAATAACTAGAAAACAATAACCAGAAATAATGAATCAAATAACCAGAATTAACAGGTAAAAAAAACAAGTAAATAGTCAGAATTAACGGAGAAAATGACTGGAATAAATAACCAGAGTATATTAACAATGTAAATAATTAGGGAAGAGAAGTTTAAAAGATGGTCAGACAAACCGAAGAAAATGACAAAGCAAGTAGCGAGTTAATCAGTGTAAATAACTGGAACAAAACAAGAGCAAATAAAAAATCAAATAAACCTAAAACTGCTAATTTTATTCAAACAGCTCACTCATGCTCATATGTCTTTTATTTTATGTTGTTCATGCTGCTTCTTGTTTTACAATGCTTGTAAAAATGTTTGTAAATATTGAAAGTTAAAGAAATACAGATTTGTTGAATGTTACCGAAACTTGAATCTGTTTCTTTCTTAATTGACCTAAAAATAACTTTACACATAAGTACACAGAAAATCAGTGGCATACATTTTGGGAAATGTCATTAGTTGCAGAAAACACCATTTATTTATAGGAGAGAAAGTGCTGATCTTGTTGAAACTTTTTATTGTTTAACACCACTTAAACACTGCCTCCATTTTGATAATTTACACCTTCCTGTCTTCTAAACCAATCTTTGCTAGTTTGATTATGTATTGCCAGGGCTGTACCCAGCTTTGGCAGTCCCCGGTAAAAATATTAAACCAGGCCCCCCCTTTCCTTGAAGTATATTTTTCGGTAAAATTGTCCGGAAAAACCGGTTTGAGTACGGCCCTGTGTATTGCTTTATCTTCAGTAAATTTGTTTCTACTTTCTTGCTGTTATGTTTTGAAAACTAAAACTTGTTGTGAAATAGGTTAAAAACAAGGTTTTGGGGTTTAAGTGCTTATCACACATATTGTAGATACTAACAGTTTTTAATCTTGTCGCAACCTATTTAAGCTATAAAATCGTGAGTCTATTCTATTTTGTTCTTCCACTGTAAAACCTTGAACACTTAAATGGGGAACAAATGACAATATATAAATTTTTATTTTATCACAGTTCACAAATATTTTATTTACCATTACACAATGTCTTGTTATTTAGCACCCTTTTTGTTTAAAACTCATCTCTAACGGCTTCCCCTCTAAGCGGTAGAGTTTGCCAAAACTGAATTCTTTCTTTCAGAAGGTTACTTTGTAACCTAAAGCCTTCAGCTGATATCTCCAAATATTCCTCTTTTGAGCCGTTCTTTGACTTCCAGAAATCTTCTGATGTATAAAGAAATGGAATCCTAAAAGGAGGGGGATGTTAGAAATGTACATAACAATAAAAAACTTCTTGTTCCCCAATATACACTTGTATAATGATAAATACTGTGCAGTATCATGTTTTCAGTCGAGTATAATCAATTTTTTCACAATAAAATTATACCGTAGGACCTCAATAACAAGACCCTTGATAACAAGTCTCATTTCCAAATACCTTGATTCTCTATACCTCTCATTACATGTATTATTGTAAACCTTGATAAGAAGTCAACCTCGACACAAAGTTTCATTAGATAATCTTTTGAGTGACTTGTTATCAAGGTTCTACTGTATTACTAAACCATGAATAAAAGTCAAGAAACTAGTTTCCTTTGGTCATTTAAAGCTTAATAACATTTGAGCTAACAAGCACAAAAAACCTCAACTTAATATTTCTATAAGTGTAAACAATATTGGCTAAACACTATGACTTACTCTCACCTCTTTTCCGCAAAGTTGGTCCACAGCTGAATCATCTTTGTTGACATTTGATAGTCAGGATTGTCAATTATTAGCTTGGGAGCGTGGCTGTCCATCGGGAATAAGTACAAAAGTTCATCGAAATGGCAGACACCTGTTAAAAATTAGGAAATTTAAACCAACTATATCAATTAGTATATCCTCATTTATTACTTAAGTTTGTGTGGTACTTCATGTGAAATGGAATATAATCTATTCTACTCATGGATACATTAGTATATTTTGAATAAATTTCAAGGTAACTTAGTGATCAGGATGAATCATTTTACAAAACACCTTAATATAAGATGGTTCAGAATATATATCATTTACATTTGAACGTATTCTATCCTACAATTTATTGTTAGAATATAAAAGAAAAATACTCCCGTTGCAGCAAACATGCAGAATAAGTGAATTTCCATGTCTGAATTTTAACACAAACTGTTCCGTAAACATGTCAGATTTATTCCCTATATTTACAATTGTAAATGTTTACAAATTTTGACGAGTGGTGTTTTTGGCCTCTGGGAACATCAAAACGAAAAAGTAAATCGGTCCCAGGTCTAGGTCTTACTGTGCCAACTACTAATAGTTCATTAGCTACATAGGAAATTCACAACCAATCCTGGAAAGACTTTATGACAGATCCTAGCAGTTTATTATATTTTAATTGTTTGTATTATCCTCCGATTAATATATTCGGCCAATATTTTCATACTAACCCATAAAATGAGGGTTGCCGAAGTAGTGGTTACAAAGTGAAAATGATTCTGAATTGTTGTAGGTAAAGTAGTAGAAGAACACCGGTCCATCATGCATTCTAGAAGCCTCAGAAACTCCATGACTGAACCAGCTGTCTGTGTATAACTGGAAAAAACAATTGGGTTGTTAAACAATTCTAATTGCCAAAATGAAAATTTGCTGATAACAAAATCTGAATTAATTGAGCAAGATTTCTTACAACTAACTGTTAAACTTTTAAAATGGTTTAAAATATTCAACACATAAAAAAATTTACCGTAGTTCATCGATAGTAGGTACGGTTTACTACTTTTGTATGGTCGCCAATTCAAAGTAAAGTATCAAAAGTAAAGTATTACCTTAATTTTTGACACATAAGACGCTTCTAAACAAAAAGTCAATACATTATTGTGAATTATATTACAAAAAATAACCTGAATCAATGGTAATCCGATAACAGTTTGCTCCCGAAAAGCTCAGAATAGTAGCGGTCTACCATGTACACATCATTATTTGATTAGCTTTGTTTGTTTAGCTCAATTAACATTGTAAGTTACAAGTGAATAATTTCAGAAAACACAGTTATATACCAGAATGGTCACGTTTATGATAGTGAGTTATTCACAAATTCAACAACCTCCAAGTTCTGCCAACCTCTATCTTTAAAAATCTCAATTTCACAAAATACAACGTTTGCAACGTTGTTTGCTGAAGATGTTAATTTGAGTTTGTACAAAATGTGAAATTCAAACACAATTTCATGATGGGTAGCCTCTGGACCATACAGCAACAATAATAATGGTTTAATTTACCTCTGTCAATATGGTCCTTGCGTAGTTTGACCTTCACCTGAAGATGTGCTCCACGAGCACGAAACTGCAGTAGTGACAAACTACGCAAGGACCATATTGACAGAGGTAAATTAAACCATTATTATTAAAACACAATTTATACCTTAACTAATTCAGGAACATGAGCCAATGTTATTCGTTCAGTTTTCCCGAAGTAAAATTGTCTGATGGCTTTAGTCACTTTCTTGGTATTTCCTGACGTGTGTTGATACAGCAATGACAATGGCAGGACTTGGTCAAAATCTTCATTTAGTTTTTTGAACTTTTCCGGTACATTTCCTTGAGTTAAACCTGGAAAAAATTTTTGCTTGGAAAAATAGGTTGAGTTTTCGCTATTTACTTTTCCTTACTTAGTCTTAACTTACTTTAACTATACAGGAAATTTTTTTCCTAGTGTACACTTAATTCCTTGAATTTAACATACACTGTAGTTACAATATTTTTTTTTCAAAATAATAATTGTTTTATGCTTGATGAATTTAAATTATTCTGTCTTAAGTTTATTGTTTGCTTTGCTTATACATGTTCTATGAACTATACAACTAGATTTTAAATACATGGTGTTAATTAAGCTGAATTATTGATTTATATTGTTAGCTAACTAATATATTACATATCCCAAATTACAGAGTGTTTCAAAAGGACTTTACAACTTTGAAAATGTATATACATTTTATGAAACAAGGTACAGAGCTGGTTTTGGTGTTCTTTTAAAGGAAAACACTTCCAAGTTTTTTTACCTTTAACTGAAGATTTTTTGTGGTCGTACACTTTCCTCTTGCTCAACGCACAAAAAACTTTCACTTTAAGGCTATCGTGAATATGTTGCAATGTTTCATGTGGATTTTTACTCTGTCTCAAAGTTGAACCGTCAGAAAAGATTATGTTGTCCAAGAAATGTCCATCATTATCCACTCGATTTAACATATCCACACAGAAGTTCTTAGAGGCAACCTTGTCAGTGTCTTTAATTGATTGTAAAGGTGAATATCAGTACGGTTTCAAATGCAAATGTTTTCCTAACACACACCAAACAATAAAGATGACTTTGACTTTGACTTTGACAACACTAAATCGAGCTCTGTAATTTTATGGAATAATTTTATATGAATTTTCAAAGTTGTAAAGTCCTTTTTGAAACTCCTGTATATGGATGAGCGATGAGTTAAATGTCTTGTGTAGCTTTACTTTACTAACTATGATCAGCTGTTTGTTTTCTTGGTTCAGTTATTAATAGTCCAATGGTCAACAGCTAGGTATAGTTTTGAATCGTCAAAACGCTACTGACTATTTCCCAGGATCATAGTAACATCTTTTTACCCCATAAGCACATTTAAACTAAACAAATTAATGTTTTGATAATACAAATATTTATTTTATTAAACTGGTTCTTTGTGTAGCTAAAGTTAATAATAATCTTACAAATAAACACATAATTATTTAGCAGAATATGGTTTACTTTACCTTGCCTAAAATGATCCTGTTTAGTCGTCAAACACAACAGCTGTTTCGTGCTACAATGAGCACATCTTCAAAGTGAAGAAACACAAAATCAACACATTTCGCCCGCGGTTGAGCACATCAAAAACACATAAAGTACATGAAGTTCACACAAACACAACATATTAAAACACTTGGCCAAGTACCGCGAACACGCGACGCGGCGCCGGTAATGTGTAGGTGATTTGTCATTCAAATCAAATATTATTTATAACACCGCCATCCGCATCATGAACTCGACCAATCAGCGTAAGGGTCCTGATAAACAACAGGTGATGGGGAGGGAAGTGAACGTCTCCGATACCACTGTGACCACGCGCCAGTCATGACCTACACATTACCGGCGCCACGTCACGTGTTCGCGGTACTTGGCCAAGTGTTTTAATATGTTGTGTTTGTGTGAACTTCATGTACTTTATGTGTTTTTGACGTGCTCAACCGCGGGCGAAATGTGTTGATTTTGTGTTTCTTCACTTTGAAGATGTGCTCATTGTAGCACGAAACAGCTGTCGTGTTTGACGACTAAACAGGATCATTTTAGGCAAGGTAAAGTAAACCATATTCTGCTAATTTTAATGATCCAGAGGCTATCCATCATGAAACATAATTAATTACATGTCGGTGATTACAGTCACATTGATAAACTCAGTTACTGAAAGTCTTAACCCAATCGTGTACCTGCAAGTTTGAGTGCTCCTTCGTTTTCGTTAAAGCCGACCATCCAAGGAACTTGGGAAGTGAGAGTCCAAGGATTGCTTGTGAGGAACGCATCTTCTACTTCTTCAGGTTCAACAGCTGGGTTGAACAAAACTACGGGATCCATATCCCAAACCTAAACATTTTAACAATCAACCCTATGAGTACCAGGAAATTAATGTTTTCCCCTCATCTCATGTTTACTTACAAAAATACAAATTCTTATAACAAGTTTTGTAATTTTTACCAATGCATTTTCAATAATATAGTACAACCCTTCCGGCCTACGTTGGACCGAGCCCCTGACCAGATAAACACTATCATTAAAACAATAATTTGTATCTAATAACTTGTGATTGGTTAAAATAATTTTTCTCTTTCGTGAATCTACTAGCTCAACTGAGTGGTGGGTGAACCCGCTAAAAATGTATATGAACAGGAAACAGATAAACTCTGAGACCGCTCAAATCATGGAGGCTACGTGTACAGCCTTGAGAAATATTTTTGGTATCGATTCCGGGAAGTGACAGGATAAACCGAGGACTGGAAATTGTAAGTTGAAAGTAACAAAGTTCCTTTTTAAAGGTGTAATTTAAAAAAAGCCTAACCTGTCGACACACTACTTAGGATCAGAAAAGTGAAAGACGATTTTTAACAGATTTTTACCAATTTAAAACCATTGCCTTTTGGAGTATATAGACTAGACACTCATCCTACACTAATTTGTATTCATACCTGGCTTAAAATACCTGCCTTCGTATGGTCGTTAAAAAAATGGTCTATCATTCAAAGGTAAGACTTACGATGAAATGCTTGAGTGTTCCAACAATATCTTGAGCAGGTAGAGCGCGCAGACAGTCCACTAGTTCTTGTGAAGAGGTGAAAGAACATCCTGTAAGTTGTGCCAACTGTGCAGCTAACTCTCTATGTCTTGCTGCGGTAGAGATTGCCCAGGGACAGAGAGCTGTGCCACTCTGTGAAATTGCTTTGTGGAACAACCCTGCAACAATGTGTGCATAAAGTTGTTAGAACCTAAACCCACAATCACTTTGGTATTTTAAAATATTTTAAGATGGTAAATAAATCTTCAGCTGTTTGAAATTAACATTGCTCTTGTGGACAAATCTAAGATGGCCGTTAGCCTTCAAGGAGACTCTCTTGGTAAACAATTACAAAACCAGAAAGATAATCTGTTGAGAAGAAGGGTAGGACTAATCAACACCGTGATCAAGTAAAATTGTAACAGAAAATATGTAAGTACCTTGACTTTTAGGCGAAAGCATGTGGAAATGAACACTCGCTCCTCCAGCACTCTCTCCGAAGATTGTCACAGAATCTTTGTCACCTCCAAAGTGGTGGATGTTTTTTTGTACCCATTTAAGAGCACTCAGCTGATCCTTAAGTCCAAGGTTTCCTGGTAACACTGAATCTCCAGTGGATAGAAATCCTGGAACATTTATGAGTCATATAATGCCAAGGCTACGCAAACTGTGATATTCGGATTCCCCAAACAAATACATGAGACCAATGTAAACTTTTTAAGGTACTATATCAACATTGATATACATTTTTCAAATTTGCTTGGAAGAAAATTTGACAAATCTCTCATTGTAGAATTCCACTGTCAAAATAGTAGTAGTTATTACCACTCTTTTTTTACTTCTTTCAGTTGAAAGTTGTCTTGACAATATTGAGAAAACACTAACAATATTCTTAACAACACTAAAAAAATTATACTTCCCAAGAGGGGTCCTAGTCAGTAATTTATGGTGACTTAGACCACACCCTTATCTAGTGGTAGCTCAGGACCATACTCTCTGAAGGATCACCAGAACCTCCTGCATATCCTCCACCATGGATGTAGACCATTACAACAACTTCTCTGACTGCCACCAACAAGTAGACTTACCAAGAGGTCCTAGTCTGTAGTTGATGGTGACTAAGACAATATCCTGGTCCAGTAGCAGATCAGGACCATACTCTGAAGGATCACCAGAACCTCCTGCATATCCTCCACCATGGATGTAGACCATTACAACAACTTCTCTGACTGCCACCAACAAGTAGACTTACCAAGAGGTCCTAGTCTGTAGTTGATGGTGACTAAGACAATATCCTGGTCCAGTAGCAGATCAGGACCATACTCTGAAGGATCACCAGAACCTCCTGCATATCCTCCACAATGGATGTAGAACATTACAACAACTTCTCTGACTGCCACCTACAAGTAGACATACCGAGAGGTCCTAGTCTGTAGTTTATGGTGACTAAGACTACATCCTGGTCCAGTAGCAGCTCAGGACCATACTCTGATGGATCACCAGAACCTCCTGCATATCCTCCACCATGGATGTAGAACATTACAACAACTTCTCTGACTGCCACCTACAAGTAGACTTACCAAGAGCTCCTAGTCTGTAGTTGATGGTGACTAAGACCACATCCTGGTCTTGTAGCAGCTCAGGACCATCCTCTGAAGGATCACCAGAACCTCCTGCATATCCTCCACCATGGATGTAGAACATTACAACAACTTCTCTGACTGCCACCTACAAGTAGACTCACCGAGAGGTCCTAGTCTGTAGTTGATGGTGACTAAATCCACATCCTGGTCTAGTAGTAGCTCAGAACCATATTCTGAAGGATCACCAGAACCTCCTGCATATCCTCCACCATGGATGTAGAACATTACAACAACTTCTCTGACTGCCACCTACAAGTAGACTCACCGAGAGGTCCTAGTCTGTAGTTGATGGTGACTAAATCCACATCCTGGTCTTGTAGTAGCTCAGAACCATATTCTGAAGGATCACCAGAACCTCCTGCATATCCTCCACCATGGATGTAGAACATTACAACAACTTCTCTGACTGCCACCTACAAGTAGACTTACCGAGAGGTCCTAGTCTGTAGTTGATGGTGACTAAGACCACATCCTGGTCTAGTAGTAGCTCAGGACCATACTCTGAAGGATCACCAGAACCTCCTGCATATCCTCCACCATGGATGTAGAACATCACTGGCAACTTCTCTGCCTGTGTCACCTACAAGTAGACTTACCAATAGGACCTAGTCTGTAGTTGAAGGTGACTAAGACCACGTCCTGGTCTTGTAGCAGCTCAGGACCATACTCAGAGGGATCACCAGAACCTCCTGCATATCCTCCACCATGGATGTAGAACATTACAAGAACTTCTCTGACTGCCACCTACAAGTAGACTCACCGAGAGGTCCTAGTCTGTAGTTGATGGTGACTAAGACCACGTCCTGGTCCAGTAGCAGCTCAGGACCATACTCTGAAGGATCACCAGAACCTCCTGCATATCCTCCACCATGGATGTAGAACATCACTGGCAATTTCTCTGCCTGCGCCGACAAATAGACTTACCGAGAGGTCCTAGTCTGTAGTTGATGGTGACTAAAACCACATCCTGGTCCAGTAGCAGCTCAGGACCATACTCTGAAGGATCACCAGAACCTCCTGCATATCCTCCACCATGGATGTAGAACATCATTGGCAGCTTCTCTACCTGTGTCACCTACAAGTAGACTTACCAAGAGGTCCTAGTCTGTAGTTGATGGTGACTAAGACCACATCCAGGTCCAGTAGCAGCTCAGGACCATATTCTGAAGAATCACCAGAACCTCCTGCATATCCTCCACCATGGATGTAGAACATCACTGGCAATTTCTCTGCCTGCGCCAACAAATGCACTTACCAAGAGGTCCTTGTCTGTAGTTGATGGTGACTAAGACCACATCCTGGTCTAGTAGTAGCTCAGGACCATACTCTGAAGGATCACCAGAACCTCCTATCTGCATATCCTCCACCATGGATGTAGAACATTACAACAACTTCTCTGACTACCACCTACAAGTAGACTTACCAAGAGGTCCTAGTCTGTAGTTGATGGTGACTAAAACCACATCCTGGTCTAGTAGTAGCTCAGGACCATACTCTGAAGGATCACCAGAACCTCCTGCATATCCTCCACCATGGATGTAGAACATCACTGGCAACTTCTCTGTCACCTATAAGTCACAATTTCATTTTTTACGGAGTGAAGCTAATATAACTTACAAATATTCCTGTCTCACCTCAATTTTATCTTTGTGAAGTGGTGAAGCTTACCACAAATACTTTAAAATTTTAAATTTTAGTCTTTAGGTTTTGAGTGTAGCGGCCCCTTTTGACCTATTTTTGCTTGTGTACTTATGCTTTAAAAGCCTACACAATGAACGTATCAAGAAAACCGAAGAGTGAGCATGTACAGTACAGGAATAAATTGTTGCTGAAAAACAATATTTGGCCAAACCAATACCAAACCGTAAACATAGGCATGGTTCCTTCTTTTCTCTCCGTTCACTGATTCACCAAATAAATCTTTGACCAAAAAATGTTCACAACCATACATCTTAGCTTTTTGTATCTGAACAATTTGCATGTAATAGTTAGTTTTTTTGCACAGATTCTTAGAGTTTGTAACTCTTGTAATGGACAACTGAATGCTCTTTGTCAACTGTGAAAAAATTAAGAAAGAAAAACAACAAAACTATATGGATTCGAGACAATTTGGTTAGGAGTTTGAGAAGCTCCGAAAAAAATAAAGAGAACCGGAAAGGGGTGAGATTGATGCGAAGACGTGGGCTAGTGTAACAAACTTAAACTTCATGGCCTATCAGCAGTCTTTCAAAAATACATTTTCGATACTTACTTGAGGAGTGTAAACGTTGAGGAAGAGACAATCTTCCAAGCCAATGACAATGTTGCGTAGTTTCTCTATCAGCACAAACTGTTGGATGCAGGCGCTTCCTGGGCGAGACGCGTCTCTGAGACCAGGCCATGTTGGCGGATCTTGAGGACTCTGAAAACAGTATTTTATTGGATGAAGTACTTGCATAGAGAAATTTATACTTGCCTGGTTCCATTAGGGAACCAGAATAGTCTTTTGATATTGAGCTTAACCTTGCAAAATGTTATTGTGCACCACTAGGTTAAGACATAAAACACACTAGCAATGAAATATATCTACACTTATATACTACTAGCTGAACCCGGCAGACGTTGTCTTGTCTTTGACTATTTATAATTTAAGTACCGTTACGTTTAATTTTCAAGGTTGGAGCTCGTTCGCTGCGCTCACTTGCCTGTTAGCTCGTTCGCTACGCTCACTTGCCTTCAGGTTAGCTCGTTCGCTACGCTAACTCGCCTCCAGGTTGAAGTTCGTTCGCTACGCTCACTCACCTTTAGGTTGGAGCTCGTTCGCTACGCTCACTCACCTTTAGGTTGGAGCTCGTTCGCTACGCTCACTCACCTTTTGGTTGCAAATTAGCTGTTGTCATAAATGTAAAAGAAATAATATAGTGCTGCACCCTGTTGGTAATCCTTGTAACTTTAATGCTATTCAACATCATAGAACAGAACCAACTTGTTTAATTGAAACAGCTGTTAAGATTCATTAATTCCATTTCTCATAAGGTTAACATGGGAAACTCCAGAGCCACTGGGGCGGAGCCCTTTTGACGGATCAGCACCAAACTTCACACAAACCTTCCATGAACAATGCTTAATAATGCCTGAAAGTTTCATTACAATCTGTCGAGCGGTGTCCGAGTTTATCCCTGCCAAACAAACAAACAAACAAATATATATACAAACATCCTCTTTTATACTTATAGATAAGATTTTATTCTGTAACATCCCCATTTCAGCTGCCCTACAAAACCGTTTTCACAATTAATGTGTCGTTTTAAAGCATCCAGCGCACCTGCAAATGTCGACGAAAAAGATCATTTCTTTAAGGGCTTTGTCCCCCTTGCATTTCAATTATTTCTAGAGTTCACTTTCAAAGATCCAGTGTTGATGATGAACTTTTTTTAAGGGTTTATATGAATGTTAATCTAACAGCTGATCCTTTTGTTGAATGTTTAACCAGGGTGTCCACCAGGCCAACCAGAAAAAATTCATGAGTAATTCATGAGTTTAAAAAAATCCAGGTAGTTCAGTTTGTACTTTTTATACTAAAATTTCCAACGTGTTTTGCGCCAATTCTCGCAATGCTTTTTTAGCGCTAACACAGCTCGCTATTTTAGTTATCGGAAAGAGCATTCTCAGTAATGAAACAAAATTTTTAATTACTGTAATATTGCCTGACACAAGTATTCAATTTTTATATATTACTGATTAAATAATCCGAAAATTAAAAACTAACCCTTAAACCTGCAATTTATCAATAACTTCTTTAAAATAGTGATATGTCGATGACAAAATTTTTTGAATCTCTGTTAACCAACATCAGATTGTAAACAAGAAACGAAACAGTTTATGGAAATGGATTTTAAATAGGCTACTTTTTTGATAATTGCAATGATTGAGGTATTTAAATCACTCTTCAGTCTTTATGGTGTGGATCTAGATCTTTGAAAAGTAAAGGTTATTGTGCTATTTATTAATTTTACCTTGGATTAACTTTTGAACCCTATTAAAATGCAGAGTTTGTGCATGGGTCTTCTTCATAAGGAATGCAGTATAGACTAAAAAAATATATATATATATATATAAAACACTTACCTGAAATCTGAGATGGCCAGTTGGGGGAGCTGCATAAGGGATGCCCAAGAAACCAAAGATTTCTCTGCCTCCCCTAGTCGTAAATGTAGTTCCTACCAAAGATCCTTGACTAATTGTAACTTGTGGGGAATCAAATGTAAACACAGCACCAATAAATGTAAAAAGCACCAGAATTTCCATTGCTGACAATCCAAAACTGCCCCGTTGGTTAACTAGTTATCAGGCTTCCTTTTAGATAAACAATAGATAACTTTCTTTCTCTGATATGGAAGTATGAGGGTCAGAGTTCATTTGAATGAGTTATTGACCTTGATAACCAGTTTAAAAAAGAAAACTAATTAACTTTATGAAATGCGAAAAGCTTTATTTTAATGCGAAACATTTTTTGGGTTTTAATTTTTTACGTAAAATTTATAGTTTTTACCACAGCAGCTTATGTATATAGCTTTAAGTACAGTTGGTTTAAAATATAAAAGATTTTGGTTCATATTGATTTTTGTTTGAGGTAGATCATTTTAATTTTCAAGAAAATAGTTTGGAAACCTTCAAAAAACCATTCAGTGGAAAGAAATGTAATGTTAGAAAATTCACCCCAAAATGAACCCAAGGAGAAATATTTCAGTACCGTAGCTCTGATCGGAGAATTATAATTAATTAAATTGAAGAAACAAAGTTATGAAAAACAGACATATGTTTAGTTTACTAAGTTTTCACTTCACAGTTTTCGATTGATTCTAAAATAATTACGTTTATCTGGAGAAATATTCGAAAATTGTTATGGTCTTTAAAGATCTTGTTTAAAAACTGTTTCTCATTGTTGCTTCGTAATTAAATGCTGTATACTTACACTTAAATATAAAGGAAAATTGACTAGCAATAATACAAAAACATTTGTACTTTATTGACAATTTTCATATTGACAAAGGTAAACTGAGTTTTAAAACATTCATTTGCGTAAGCAAATTACATTTTAAGTTAAAGAAATAGAATGTTTCCACTCGTAAATAGAATATGAAAAAATACTAAAACAATTATTTACAAACAAAACGTTTTATTATAATCGCCAAAGAGTAACTTTAACTATGATAATTGATACATGAATAATTTGACAATAATTATAATTTATTTTATACCTAAGCACAGACATCTAAATAATGAAAAAATACTACCCAAATGGAAACACCCAAGATTTGTTAATAATAAATGGTTTTATAATACTGTACTATATAGTATATAGATAGTTAATATTCTGCAGTGAAAATAATTTTAAAGCAGTTTAAAAAAATGTTCTGTAATAATTTTCAAAATAACAATTTTTTTATTGCACAAAATTGAACCATTCAATTTGTTAGACCTAAAAACCATTTCCAATCTATTTTTTAGCTTTAATGAATATTATCCGAATATGTTGCACAAATACTGTTTCTAATAATCTACAAGTCAGTTTTAGATTTTTAAGATTACAATATAAGTATTATCTCAATAAAATAATTTGATTCACAGATAACACAATAACTCACAAATAATACATTAACAATAACTACAATAATATTAAAAAAATTATAGAATAGAGAGAAATTATTTCAAATTATTTATATATACACTAATATTAGCTATATTATTACAAATGTTCCCTTTTTACAACCTCAAAGAATATTTTGCTATTTTCATATCACGAAACTGCTCTTTACGTAAAATTTATGACAAGGTATACTTAGGTTTTGGTTTAAACTAGTTCTACGCACTTAAAAAATTAATAAATAATTTATTAAATCACTAACACTAAGAATTGTATATTTACTAACTTCTAATAATAATATTCACTACTTGTATAAGGGTAGGCCTAAATAAGTTTGGTCAAAATACAATCGACTAATTGCACATGCTAAAAATAGTCTTAGCCACAAAATACCTTTTATTTACAACGTAAATTGCAATTAAACATTGCTTTAACCTAATACATGTTTATTATGCAACGGTAGGATTATTGTGATGCAAAAGAAGCGTATAAAGTCAAATTTTGTTCGATGATTTGGGTAGATCTAAATAACAAAATGAAAAGATGATTATTTTATTTATAATCGGTGGCGTTAAGGTAGCTTTAGAACATTGAATTAAAGTAAATTTATTTTACTTAATTTCCCTCAGACTTTTTAATGTTGTAATTTGTTATTTATTGCATTATAGAAAATCACTATTTTATCACAATAAATAAATAAAAAACTATAAGAAATTTGAACAGAATAGCCTCCTCTAATACAATGCCGCGGTAAGACAACAGTGGCATTGCTGCAGTCCATGCGTACTGAAACAGCTGTTGCACTAATTTATAAAGGAGCACCTAGTAGTGTTTATGATTACACGTTTGTAATAACGATGGCCGTTGCGACAATTCCACCGCCTTTTATCAGAGGAGGCTTTAACAATTTTTATCATGTATTAGTATTATTTTAAATGTTTTTACCTACAGCTGTTTTTTAAAGTTGTTGTTTCAGTTCAGTTCTTAGAATTGAAAAGATTCAATTAACAGAATTGTTTTTTTTTATTTTTTTTTACAACACGGGTAACGGACCAATGAGGTTCAAGGATTGAGAGAGGAGTAAAATTGTATGCTTCGAACGTCAACTAATCAGTTGTTAACGCCAATTTAATTGTTGAGTGGTGCTATTAGTGTTTGGAACAATGATTTGTTGCATCACCGTCAGAGAGGTTATAGGCACTGAGAGTTTATAAACGAAGCCATAACCTCTCTTAGAAGTTATCGGTAGTGATTGTTAGTTATAAAAAAAAAAAAAAAAAACTGTAGTAGGTCGGTAAAGTAGTGAACTAGACTCGTGTAAATAGTCTTAACAACACTCGTAGAAGTTTTTAAAGCACTCGCCAAGGCTCGTACCTTAAATTTTTACTCGTGTTGTTATATTATCTAGTAGATATTTTTTTTTAGAAACTAAGAAAATCATATCGCAGTTGAACCCCGAAGAACAGTTGGCCTATAATTTGAAAAAGTTTAGTTTCATTTGAAACATAAGGTTGCACTCTTAAAAATATACAAAAACAACATATAGATACAAATACGATGAAAAATGTACGTCTTACATCATGGGGGATTGTCTCCGATTAGGACAAAGACTAAAGTCAGTCGTTGTCATTACGATGTTTTGATGTTTAGGCTACATTATTGTGTCACGTATAGCTCAGGACTAACAAAAAATAATTGTTTTATGCTTTTATACTAGAAAGAAGATTTTTTTTATTTAGCACCAACATGTAAAGTACCATAAGTTATTTAACAACATAAATTAAAAATAAATATACCTTAAACTACAAACAACAGAAAAACACTATGACTACTGCATATTTCGTTTGTTGACTTAATTTAGCCTAAAACCTATCGGTGGGAAACATGCCAAATTTAGCTAATCCAAAATAAGATGGTGAAAATTAGGTAACTCATATTAAAACAGAGAGATGGGGTTTTTTTTTTTAACCTAACATTTTATGGATACCCACGTTATTTGGTATAACATTTTCAAAACACAATTAAACAATGGGGGTAAAGTATCCTCTTGGAATTTGTTTAGTTTGGAATTGGGGTAGTTATTACGGTCACTTCTGTATGACTCACACGTTTGTAAAAATACTTTAAATAATCAACTAAACGAATAAGTCCAGCAAAGCCTGTTTGCTTAACAATATTTGGTAAACTTAGCTTACAAACAATATGTTATTATCATTTTACTTTATTCCGAGGCTGGTGGCATCTTTTAGCCTCGCTGCTCATCCCAGCAGGCGTGTATCGTTGCCAATTTTTGTTTAAAAATGTTTACGTGTTCAAGTCGTGTACGTGTTTTTGTGTTAAATGAACCATGACAAAGTCATTTGGTGGGAAGTTTTTTACTAGTGCTTGGCTGAAGATGACACAGTAGGCCTACTGTCGAAACACGTACCTATTGAAATTCACCATCCAGAATTTTGAGCTAATGACGTTAAAGTAATAATTCTTACAATAATTATCCCTAGCTCAGTGGCATAACAATGAATTTAAAACTTCTAATCTTGTTCCAACTTGAATAATACATATGTTATAGAGTTTTCACCAAGTTTATTTGAGGAAATAATAGGAAATATATTTTTCTGTACCATTTAGGCAATACCAGTTACCACTACCAGGCAACCTAATTTGGCCCAATAGTTATTGCTACAGTAGAAATGCAAACAACAACAAAAATACTTAAAGATAAAAATGGGATTTTAAAACTTCTTGATACTATGAAACAAATTTGTAAATGTAAACGATTTCAGTTTCAGTAAAGAGATACTTGGGATAAGAAAACTGAAGTATTATTTAAATAAAGTTTTCACATAGACTAATTTAGATTAGCCTAATTTTACAGGTAAATACATTCTTAAAGGTAACTTAAATATTATAACCAAAGGGAGGCTATTTTGATTTGGTAAGTCATGATAAGTTAGTTTACAGTTTGTGTAAACTTACATTTCGTGTAAGCCAGTCTTTTGTGTTTACTCACAGTTCAAGTTGACTTAACGTTCTATCACCAATATGTTGGCAAACATTTTGTGTTCATCCAAAGTTTGTGTTGGCTTAAAAATTTTTTTCACCGACAATTTTAGGTTGGGAATCAATTTGTTTCACCAACATTTCTTGTTTGGAAAAATGTTGTGTTCATCCACAGTTTGTTTTTGTCACATTTTGTGTTGGCAAAATTGTCTTGTCGACAACATTTGTGTTGTACATTTCGCGTTCACACAAAATATATTTTGACTAACATTTGGTGTTCACTCACAGTTTGTGTAGATCTACAGTTAATGTATCTCCAGCGGTCTTCTCGGCCACACTGTGTGTGATAACAGTTTCTCCCTCACGTCCCACATAGCTTGCAATCTCTGGTTCACCGGTGTGATGTAAGTGTAGATCCACTCTTTGATGGTCTCCGGATCAAACACATCGGTCATTCCTTTCCTCAGGTTCTGCTCCAGGTATTGCAGCTCCATCTTGAACCTATCCACTTCATTTGTAGCCCCCTCTACCTGTAATGAATTAGGAAGTTTCAAATTTTCTATTTATACCGCTCTAAGTGAAGTTTAATGCTGACAAGAATATGACAGACAAGAAAAATTTTTTGTCCAAATTTTTGGGTGGCTTAGAGGTTTGTTTTTAACCTCATTGTTATGTTGGCTAACAAGGGGAAATTAATTAAGATTTATTACTAAGCACTTATTAAGATTTTCTTCTCTAAAGTAGGAATTTTTTGGAATGAAAAAATTCAAGCAAATGTATCCCTGTTTTTGCGGTTTTTAATAATTTTGCTATTTTTTCCAACTGGATTTAAGATATAAAGCGATAGTATAAGCCATATGTAAATTTTGTAGGATTGAAAATTCATGATCGGTAGCAACTGATCATTACGTCACTACGATAGCGGTAGATGATAGCAATTTCACTGTGAACGCAAGAGATTCTGGAACCAATAGTGAATTTTAACCAGTCACAGAATTTGATAATCCTCAATATCATTAGTATCAACATTTTTTATGAAACTAGAATCGGAATCGGCTCATACCTTTTTTTGAGAGATAGCTGCAAAATTTACGGCTCCAAATTTTTCCATGGTTGACAAAATTCACAGCTTTTTAACAGCTTTGAGTTTTTTACAGTTGAGTAGGTACTAAAAGTGTCATGGTTGAATTAGCTGTGTTGGTGCTTGGCAGGATGTTTGGGCAACCAGAGTTCTCACACTTTAACACCTAAATCAGCCTTTCATTTCTATCATTCGGTTGGATGTAAATGAACTTAATTCCAGCACTAAACTTAAACTTACATGTGCAGGATTGGAGAACCCCGTGCGTTTATTATACTGAGATAACCATCCTTTGGCTTCACTGGACTCCTCCATTTGCGTGATTTGGTCCATGATATTTTCCAACTGATGAGCCTTCTCGTAGATAATAGAGCCGGGAAAGCTGCAGTGAGCTCCCATTTTAGGATGTAAAAGTCCAGGGCCGCATTTAAGGATTTCTTGAACTGCAGACGGCGGAGTACGCAACTCTGTGAAAAAAGTTAGAAATCGATAATTTCAATTTCCTACATAAATTGCAAACAGATTTATCTTTTGGGAAGTATAGTTGTTCTTGAAAATCCAAATGATGTTTCCAAAAGGGTTTGTGTGTAAATAAATACAAAAGTTTTAAAATGTGTGTAAATCTTTTTGTGTTGTCTCTGTTCTGTTTATTTGTCATCTGTTGTGTCCAAACACTTATGATAACATTTCACTTTGAGGGACTACATAGCTCTGATGTATTTGGAACTGAAGATTTTAATTTTAATTGGTAAGCATGTTATAGTTTGCTCATCATTACATTACAGCCATCGTGTAGAGCTCAAAAACAAATAATTTAATATCCTTAAGAGTTTTTTGTGCGTTTTAAGGGTTAACAGAAAATTCCCAAAAACTGTAAGTTACATATCAAAGTCCTATTTTATTTTTTTTTTAAAGTAAACTGTAGTTTTTGTTTAAATACTTTAACACTAAATTTCAAAAATGTATTCATGTCATACTATGGGATATTTACATTTGATCAAAGAATCTGTTTTCTCTTTCCTGTAGTAGCAAACCTAAGAACTCATTAAATATAATTTTATTTAAATGGTGAATACATCTGACATGTTTAAGGAAGAATCATTTTAGTAAAAATCCTCAGACTTCGGAATTTTGCTTAGTCTGCAGGTTTACTGCAGCGGCAATTATATTTCAAAGTTTCCTTTAAAAAAATTAATTTTGGGAGCATAGGTGTCCTGTGGCCAACATTTTTTGGGGGGGGGGGGCATACACAACATATCAACACTATAAACTATGAAAATGAGCTAAAATTTTATTTTTAGACATTCCCAAAAGTTGGGACGCCTATGTTTGGAAGATACTGACCGATTTCACTCTGTGCCAAGTAGCCCAAGTTGACGGCTAGTGACGGTAACCCAACAGGCAACAGCTCACAGAGAACGGCAAAGTGATCATAGCGTTGCCATCCGGTCATCATGATGCCTTTGAATTTGAGACGATCTTTGTGCATCGCCACAAGCTTCATCCACGACCGATGATTCTCCAGGTGATATTCTTAAAATGTTTTACACTAGATTAACTTGAGTTTCATTAATATTATACAATATTTAGTTAAGAAGTGTATTTGTTCGGTAAAGAAATACAGGGTGTTTAAAAAGAATGCCGGAATTTTAAACGGTCATTGCTTGGGGTCTATTTAAGATAATTAAACCATTTAGATGTCAAATTGAGGGGAAAAGAACAAAGTTTTTTTCTCATTCTTAGATATGATTCGGAATGATTTAATACAATTCAGATTTTCATCAATCTTATATGAGCATACAACTGGCAAAGTCTGTACGCTTAGGGGGATCGGCAGGTTTATCTGATGTCTTAACTGAATCTTTTTAGTTTTTAGGCACAACGACTTTTACAGATAACATCATAAACACTGACCAATTTAGGTTTGTTTAACTGAAGACTTGGTCAGGCAATCGATTTTTTCGGGCTTCTGATGCAGAATTGTCGGATTTCTTAGACTATTTCATCGCTTGTTTTTAGCCAGCCAGATGAATGTCTTTTCAAAACACTATGGTGCCTTTCAAAACTCATTAAACCAGCTTCAAATCTCTTCATTATCAAGTACATTTGAATTTAGTTTGATTTAACAATGAATATAAACTCATCTGTGAATGACAGATTACAATCTGTGCCTTCTGTTGTGCTGTAAATGTCGTACTGGCGACTGGCGTAAAGCATATGCGTCACAATAGCGGCCTACCACCGTGCATCTGTTTTGCACATGCCAAGGTCAAAGTTTCCTCCCTTGCTACACAGGAAACAAAACTTGGTTATTTTAGCTTCAATTTGACGTAAAAAACATTTAGTTACCTTGAATAGTACCCAAGCAATTATCATTTTAAATCCCGGTATTCTTTTAAAAACACCCTGTATTTCAATATAGGCTATTTGAAATGTAGGAAAAAAGGAATAATGGGAAAAATTAGAGACAGGGCTGAGTAAAAACTACTTTAAAACAGTACTCAGTATAATTAAATATAGTATTTTTGTGTTCCTTGAGCCAGGTAGGACTTTTTGTTTATAATTAGATTATTCCCATGTCTTGGGGCAGGTCAATCATGGTAAAATAAAAAGTGAAATTTCAATAAAAGCTGTTTTGTCCATTCCAATTGAGCTGCTCTAAATTTCAATCAAAATGTTACTCAAAATGTATGAATCTGATTTTCAGGGAAGGAAAACATAATATGATAGTAAATTTTTAATATTAGTTTTGATAAAGTGTGTGAAATTTGGTTTATTCAAAAGTGGTAAAATATGTTAAGAATGTAAAATGGTTTGTCAAAGCTGACATAATGAAATGCATTTGACTGTATTATATCCATTGAAGAAGGTGATAATTATCGTGACTCTAATTTGTGTATTCCCCTTTTATTTAGGTAGTGTTAGAATGATTAGGCCTAGGCTATATTGTTTTATTTTCAGTGGAGGCAATTCTTCAATACAGAGAAAATTCTCAAAGCCTTAAGACATAAGCTTGAAATGGGCTTGAATCAACTAGGTATTCACAATTAAAACCTCACTGGTCTTTGGCAGGATTTGTACCCACTTCTTCACTACAAAGACCCACGCTCCAAACACTTCATCCCAGACCTGACAAACATCACTAACCTATATCAGTGATGATCTTGTCGGGGCCAGTTGCTCCTTTGAACGCTGAAGCGATCCACACGGAGCCGAACACACTAGCGTACTTGTCCCACACAGCCTCCTCAAGGTAGGTATCGATGGTGGGGGTATACTTCCATACCACAGGCTCTACCAGCGAACCGAGATCAAACGCTGTTATCTCCGCGACGCTGAGCTTACGGAACTCGTCGTCCCAAACTAGCGGCTTGACGCCGGGATATTTTTCCTTCACGTATCTGAAATCAAATCTTGAATTATCCGGGGGGAATTATCTTTGGTGCATAGGAAAATCTATATGGAATAGGCCCCTTATTAGTTTTTTGACTGTGGGGGTTCTGTAGCTTCGATGAGGAGAAGCCCATGTGGAACCCCTATCGGGTGGGTATCTCACAATTTTAAAATAATCAGGACATACAAATTTGGACAAAACATGATTTTCCACACTAAAAGTGACAAAAGTACTTGGGAAACGCATATACAATTATTTGAAGTCAGTTGGTAATATTTTTCAGGTTTCTTTCCTACTTCCAGGATTTCCAGGACACTAGTAAACCGTGTTTACTGAACAATTAATTGCTCTCTACATCCATTGCTACCTAATGATTAGCTCAACTCTTCAAATCAGACGAAGCCTCACTAAATTTGATAGGAGATCTGAATTTGGCCTTAGTAAGGATATAACTAATGTTTCTACAAATATTTTGTAGCTTGAAGTTTTTTTTTATTTAGAATTTACTTGGGTTACAAAAACCTTAGTGCTCCCCTGCTTGAGGATGAAATTTTAAGTTTGAAATAAAACCATAGTTGATTTACGGAAAAACAGCACTTCCTACACTCATCTCCATTCATTCTTGGCTTAACATACCTACATTCGCATAGTCCCCATTTCAGAATAAAGTTAAGTACCGGTAAGTTTACCGTACTTGACAATACAATACATCAGGAATGTTTAAACAAATAGGCCTAACTTATTTGTTAAAACGTGATATGGAAGCTAAACAGTTTCAATCTGAAAAACTTCCACCAAAAGGTAATCTAATGTATACCTAAAATTATTTTTTTAACAAAACAAATTAGATGTTCAGCAAGAAAAACCATGCAACTAATAGGGCTACAGTGCTTAGAATTTTAAATAAAAACGACCAACCTCGCAACTTTGTTAACGTGACTCAGAAACAGCTGTTGTTTGCTCCAGTTGTTCTTCACCAAGACGTCGAGACATCTATTACACTCGGCTAAGTTGTAGACTTCATCGCAGCCTATATGTAGGTATTTGACATCCGGATGCAAAGACATCACATCGTCAATCATACCCTTCAGTAGAGGCATTGTGCCGTTGTGGCTTGGGCATATCACCTGAACAGTTTTACCGTTAATGAATATATTTAGACATTTTGTCAGCATTAAAACTAACGATCCATATTATAGCCCTTGTGAGAGAAATTAGGCTATTCTCACTTCTATTTGTATACAAAAATGTCTTCAACAACCATAGTGCAGACTAGTTTCCTTGGAAGTGTAACATTGTCAAAGCGAGTTAAACGTAGAAAAATCAAAATAAATGTATGTATAAAACACGACACAGACATGACATAGAACGAACAAAGATTACACTAGGCCTATCATCGTTCGTTCTGTGTTATGTCCGTGTCTAATACTTATTTAGGCTTTTTAATTTTTGTACAATATTACGCTTGCAACAAAACTAGTCAGCACCAATAGTTGTGAAGAAACTTTAAACTACAGACAGAGGTTAGCAAAATTTGTCAGTATTAATTCATCGTCAATAAGTTAGAGTTAAAATATGTCATAGTCAAGCAATAACACAAAACACTAGGCCTACCGGTAATGAAAGAACAAACCATAAGACCTTACATTTACCAGGCAATATTTTTTAAAACCACATCCTTTAAAAAATACAACTTTCACAATCGTCTACCTAAATATTCCTAATCTTGACTAAAAAACAAATTCATTAAAAATTCTGAAAAACGGGATTAAAGATTGTTTCAACTTTTTACTCTTATCCTTATCTCAACCTGTACTTTAAGGAAATAAATTTACCTTAAACATTTACACTAAAAAATTACCTGTGGATAACGAGGCACTTCTCTAAGATGTTCATATTGTTGAAGCTTCAAAACAAATTCCAAATGGCCAAATGTTTGGACTAGAGGTATAATTTCTAGATTATTTTCTTTGGCTTTATTCAATATATGTTTGATCTCACTCCTCGAGTAACTGTTTGAAGCTGATACGTCAACTGAAGTGTAAGGAAACATATCTTCATATTCTATCAATAGACCTGTTGCTCCAAGTTTCTTAATCAAAGGGAAAAATTCATCAAAATATGAAACTTTTGGTGGTGCACCTTTAAGGTCCAAATGGACAATTTTATCTCCGTTGAACAAGGATGGTGCCCCCTTTCTTGAAAGTTTACCTGGAAAACCCATCAAATTAGCAACATGTAACGTAATTTTTAAAAGAGGTATTAGGTCACATTTCCCTACAGGACAGAAACTTGGGACTCAGGGCATAAAATAACATGCTAACTGGACGACACAATTGTCGCCCAGTGCTGAGATTTTGTCGCCCAGTGACTATGGCAATATATAATCGTTGTACAAGCAAATATAATTGAAAAATTCAATAAAAAGACACACAGAAATGTGTGATTTTCACTTACTTAAAATTAAGCAAAAATTTCTGATGGGGGGAACTCTCGGACCCCCCCACGCAAGTCCGACGCCACTGTCGCCCAGTGAAAATCCCTTTAAATATGCTTTGAGAGGTTAATCAAAAACATCATTGCAAAGCAAACATTAAGTTACTAAATATTACAACTAACTTAGTTAAGTTAGTGGTATGATAAATTTATGAGGTATTTGTTTTCATCTTACTACACACAGTAAGTAGCTGATTTCTGTAGGCCTACTCTTCAGGTCCACAGAAAACCAGCACTCGGCAAGCCTCATGCTTGCACCGTAAACACCTAGACTTTCGGCCCTTGTAGCGTAATATTTTGTTACAATTGTTTCCTGGGTGTTTAATATAAAGTGTAACAGGGAGGGGCATTTTATTTCAAAGAATATGCCAACAGTACGAGGTATACAGATTAGAATGGTTATCGGTTATGCACTTAAGGTAAAAATACAAAGAAGGGAACTTACTGTTTCCAGAAGCTGGCCACAGATGACCTGAAGCTGACCAATGGTTTTGTGATAATTGACCAGTCAAAGTATTTTTATAATTTGCCAAAATGTCATTAGGCATTGCCTCAACATCTAAGGACTTTCCATACTCATTTGCAAGATGATTATCTTTAGGACTAACATTGAGTGATTCACTGAATGAAAGTTGATAGATTACGAATAAGACTGTAAGGCTAAGAATAACTAACATTATTTTTCTCATGTGAAATTGAAACATAATGAAGGGCCTAGGCTTAGGCCTTTTGTCTCTTACAAAATTGAAGTCATCTAATATTTTTAAATTAGTATGATAGTCCATCCAAATAAACCCTTTTCAACTGCAAGCCTTATGTGTACATAACTAAAACATCAATAATTTTCATTACTAAAATTTTGAGGACCTAAATGTGAATCGATTATTGAATTGAAAAATATAAAAATTGCTAATCAAAATACATTACGATTTTGAAGTGTTGTTCCATTAATAATTATAAATTTAGATGAATGCTTAGACACAACAACAACATAACCAACCGCTGCGCTGATAGCTTTGACATGACAAATAGTGATGGGAGAATCGAATACAGAATCGAATAGTATTCGAATACAGCCCGAGTATTCGTAGATTCGAATACTTCAGATTCGTACGAATACTTTTTTGTGAATACTCTTGACCTCAGAATTTGCAGGATTTCTATTCGGGGGATTCAAAAATGTATTCAACACTTTTTCAACTACTGAATTCCCTTTTGAATATCTTACGTTACGAATCCGTAGCATTCGTAAGAGTATTTAATGTTTTTACTGCAGCATTTGTTTTCATCTATTCGTTATAATTTTACCATTAGCCCTATAATTTACATAAGATTATTATTAATCGTTAACATTTAGAATATATTGGATACCTATTTAAAATATTAGGTTACTACTGGTAGAGGGCAATTGAATAGAATTTATTATAACTACAACCGATTTATATAGTTACATGGCAAAATAACATGCATATCTGATGTAAATTATCCATACAAATGAATAAGACATATTATTAAAGATATTAATTAGTTAATATAATAGAAAATAATACATTAATAAGACTGTAACTGACCATGAAATAATTATAAGTCAAAATAAATGTACCTTTTAAAAATCATATAATTTAAAATTACATTGAATAAATTATATTAATGAATTAATTACTGTAAAACGAAATAACAGTGGCCAAAAGAACCGTTGCATTATGAAAAAAGAATTACACACTCATTTTCCATGCTTTGCAGACTCAAAGGTGTTTGAATACAAGTATTCGTAAAAGTATTCGAATACAGGGGAGGCTACGAATTCACTGTATTCGATTCTTTAAAGTATTCGATTCTCCCATCACTAATGACAAATTGACATCATAATAATCTTATCACATCTGAGCAGATTCGCCTTGATTTCGTTAAAAAAAAGCTCCCTACAACATAGAGTAATTAGTACAAGCCAAATTACTAAAGCATGGTAGACCATTGAGTTTGTATCATTATTGATGATATAGCTAAATGAATAAAATTGTTTTTACTGTAGATTAAGTTAGTACACTCTGCATTATTGACTATACTCACTATTATTGTTGCACTTTTTAAGTAAGTGAACTTTTCTACTAACGTAAAATTCTTCTTAAATGCTCTTATAAACAAGAGTGGCACAATTATTGCTAAACTACCATCAGGGGCCCATTTCATAATAAAGTACAAATTAATATTATAAGTAAATCAGCTGATCGCCCAATGCAAATCTAATGGAAATTACAATTTACAAGTTGTAACTTGTAGTTTATTATGAAATGGGCCCCTGCTGTTACCTTTTACAAAGTTTCACCGTTTCACACATTCCATCCGTATTCCACCCCAATTGTTTATTTGCCCTGATTCGTATGATTCAAAATGAAATTAAATAAATGATTTATTGTCGTTAAAACTACAAAGTTCATGACAATCGTCACAAGAAAAACAAAACAATAAGATGACTCGCTGCTCTGGCTCTGGCAAACTCTGACCCTGACCTCAGAAAACACACAGTAACGTGTTGCCTCTTACAGCATTTCAGGGATAAAATTGGTTACATTTTTACTGTTAGGTTATAAAATAATAGGGTGGCTAGTCTAGACTAGACTAGGGTGTATTCCTGAAAAAGCCGGGACACCTTCAGTTGCCCACATCCCGTTTTGGGCTGCTGCCACTCAGCTTTAACTATGCCCTGGTGGTAAAATAATAGTCTATACTTCCATAACACTTTTTATAGGCTTTCATAAATTTGTTTAGGCCTATTGTATACTACTGGGATGTTTTTGGGCAATACTGAACGTATACTACTTGTTTCAAGGACATTTTTAGTGCATTGTATGTTATAGCAAAAACCCGGGACAATCCGACAATCGTGGTTTACAAGTTTGGTCATCCTATTATGTTATCCTAGTCATCCTCTATGCGCTGTGAACCAGTTTTCATCGAATCGAAGTATTCATCTTGATATTGTATAATATTCATAGATTCATCGTTATCCGGAATATTAGAGCAACACTCCTATGACGTCATCAGTCTCGTGCTCTGCGCTATTTTATGGCTAGACAAAATCTATGTCCTGTCCGTCCTGTCCAACCTCACTCAAAATCAAATCAAACCAATGGGCGTCTGCTCTGCGCGTCCGTCTCCGTCGTCTGTCGTGTTGTGTTGTGTTGACTGTTGACGTTTGCGTTGATTGATTGAGCTAGGTTCGGGAATTAGAAATTTGTTTATCGTTCGTTTCAGGTTTCAGTCCAGTGGCACTGTCAGTGGGCCTTTGGCTGAAAAGAAAGTGTGACTTATAATTGAAGTAGATGGTCAATTAGTCTCGTTTAAGTGTTAACTTTCAGGCGTAGCCCACTGTTATTCAAATCTATGGTTTTAAACTTAGGGTAGGTTAGAAAAGTAAACATTCACAGTTAAGTTTAATTGAAGTAGTGCGTTTTTTAAACAAATATTATAAGGAATCTAAGATAATGCCAGGAAATATATATGGAGGGATCGAGGGGTAAGTTTTAATTATAAAATAATGTTTACCATCTAGCTATTCTGGTTTTCTAACAACGGAGTGTTCAAGAAATGGATTCAATAAGTTAGGCCTATTCTAAGCGAAAGCTCAGTTAGATTCAAATCTAAAATCTAGGTAACAATGATCTAAAAACATAGAAATCTGGTTTTGATATTTTATACCTACTACAATATTTGTTTGGTAGCCTAATTTTGAAACAAAAGATGCCTTTATTTACTGGACTTAAGTTAATGGATAATGAATCGCCTAAGAGTACCTAACAAAAGCTGCATAAATATCGGTTTCCATTGTGAACTTATCTCACTCGCTATTTCCCGTTCACACACTTAAGTTTTAACAGTTAGGCTAAGTTAGTTAAGTTAGGTACCTAACAGTGAACTCCATTAAAGAACAAACATTGAACAAATCTTCAAACCGGCTACCTGTATTTAAAATTATGTAAGGATTTCAATCCACAGGCTTAACTTATGTGTGTCCAAAATGTATGTATAGCAAAACTAGTTTATGATTAAAGCTTAACAAAGACAAACCTTTTGTGACCATACCACCTTAATATTGTTGATCTATTTTGGCAACCGCATGACTCATTTCCTTTGATCTAAAGAAAACTTAGGGCGGCAAACATTTTACATAGGATTAACTTGGCTGCACTTTAGTTTTTACACTTTAGTTGCACTTTAGGCCTAGTTAGTACATTTACTCACATAGGCTACTGCAGTTTGGTTAAGGTTAGGTTTACTTTAGAACAGTTTCATTTTATAATCAGCTGATAATTAATGTATAATGAATAATTGTAACTTTTCCTAATTTCCTGTACTCCCGATTTATGACCATCCATCTCTCTTTTTCACTCCTCCTCAGCACTTCCTTTTCTTTACATTTTTTATCAATCACTCAATATACTCTATGAAGTTTTCTCTTTTCCTCCCTGCCTCGCCTGTTGCTGTCTTTATAGTGTTTATGCTTGACCAAAATAAAAAAATCTGTATTTATTGTCACATTCTAAGAAGTAATTGTTTGATTTAGCCTTTATTAAAAAATGAAATGTCTAGCTATTTGTGAATTCTAATCCACTTATTAAATAAATTGGAGGCAACACGGACCATTAACTCCAGCAGACTCAAGTCAAAAGACATAAAAATATAGATAAAATCTGGCAGAACATTAAATTAATGTAGGAACATGGAATACCTAACTTATTAATGAATAATGGATTAGTCAGGATATTAAAACAAAATTTGACGTAAAAAGTTTCTTTAGTAGGCTAACTCAAAGTATTGTTGGATTCTACAAAAAGATTGCATACACAATTACATGTCTGTTGCTCAATTCACAAAAAAAAAACCATCCCCTCATCTTCCATCTAAGCAGTGTAGGCCTACCATTATTTTAAGCTTCCTCCAAATAATATGGTGAACCCCTAACACACCAGAACTATGACAACTAAAGCCTTGTTCTCACAACATGTGGGGTTAAACCTCAGAACTCCTTGATATGTCAACGGATCAGAGAATATGCGAACCTGACTGTTCTCACGGCGCGTGGCGGCTTGTATATGAGGATTCAAGATTACAGGTTCCTGTTCATAAGTAAAAAAAAAAAACTTATCTCATGCTCTTTACAAAACTTTTCAATACACCACTCCATTTTTATTCCCATACACTACAACCACACAATTGATCAAATTCGCTCCTAGTGCTTGGCTTGATGGTTTAAGAACAAGAACCACCTTGACGAGGCTAAGGTGCTGTCTCCAGTGAGACAACACTAGGATGCCCAACCTTCAGTTATCAAGCTCAGACGCATAAACCACACTTTGATCTGGTTATAAATATATGAAAAATCTACAAATTAAATTAGATAAATTGAACATTGGAGTAAGACATAAGACATTTATTGATCTTTAGGCAATTACATGCAATCGATCTTGTCATGGAAGCTTGAAATGCACAAGTCAGTCATAAGTACAACAGTAAAACATGCTACACTAAAGCAAAATAAGTGTTCATTCTACAAAACTAAATAAGAGTAGTAGGTATTTTTGAAAAACATCATGCAAAATTAATAGAGCTAATTTTGAAGAGGAATGCTTTAATAGAGGAGAGTAAAACCATAGATAAAAGGAGTCAAAACTATACAGTCAGAAGGTTATTAGCACAAAACATACATATTTATTTTTATAATGCTTAAGTTTGTTGGTGTATCACTATAATAATAATTATCTGTACCTTTCTGTAAGCTGAAAGAAAATTGTTTTGGACCAAAACCATTTGAAGGAATAGGCCTATATTTTACCTGAATTAAATTATATATGTTATCGTTGAATACGGTAACTAACTACGGTTATGTTCTTTATAAAATTAAAAAATTAAATGCTGGAATGGAAACATACTCAGAGTACGGCAATAAATTTATCGTATGAATATTTTTAAATTATAAAATCATAATATATGGGGTTAGTGGTTATCAAAATTAATTAAGCTAGGCCTAGGTTAAATAAGCCTGAATAAAAAGTGTGTCACTAGATTGCCATTGAAACCAAAGTTTAAATGAATTGGACCAAAATTGATAGAGCGTTAGAATAAGCATTATCTAGGCCTACATTTCTTAACACAACCACCCATGATTGAAAAGTGATATGTAATCTATTATGACCCAAAAATGAATATCAATTAGGCCTAGTCAATTAATTTGTTTTCAAGGAAAAGAAAATCATTAGGTTGGTTTTGGCCCAAATATTCCTAAAGAGTAAATTTCCTAATATCTATAAATTTGAAATAACAACTTCACCAATATTTTCAGAGTTTTTAATTTCATGTGGCCTTTCGCCAGCTATGATCATCATCAGACTCATCACAATGCTGGCAAAAGGCCTCATGAAATTAAAAATTCTGAAAATATTGGTGAAGTTTTTATTTCAAATTTATATTCATTCCGATATTACAAGTTCTTGAAGATTCCTAATAACTACCTGTGTTAATAAAATCAAAAGCTTAAATCTTTATCTAGAATGACAAAAATAGCTATTTACATTACAAGTGTAGTAAGAGCGTTTTTACATCACGCAGGTGAATGTTGTGCAACGAGCGGAAGCGAGTTGCATAATTCACCTAAGAGATGTAAACACGCTCTTGCGCAACGTGTAACGTACAAGATTTTACCTGACCCGACAATATACATGGGTTTACGTACAATATTTTTCATTATCCATTTCACTCATCGTCTAACAGTAACGTTCTTTTACAAACAAAAGCTAGGTTAGGAAAATACTTTTAAAGCATAACAATAACATTCAAGCGCACAGCTGATTTCTAGCGTTGAACGTCGATGCCTCCATAGAGGTATATTTTTTTAAGTTAAGCACTCAATGTTATTTAAATGGGTTTCATTACATCACCGAGTGAGTTTTTTCCAACTTTACATCACTCGAGAAGTAAGGAAGTTGTATACATCACGCTTGGGATAGGGAAGTTTAACATGGCGGGTTAGGTAAAAAATATTTTTGTCTGTGTATGTATTAGAAGCTGACTGTGTGCTGATGTTACTGATTTCTGCAAACTTTTAAATCAAGTTAAACTTATTGGACAACTTATTATAAGCTATAGAATATTTTATTTCACATAAATTATTTCATTAGCAGAAACTATTTAAGGGACAAAATATAATTTTTAACTGTAGGTAGCACAAAGTGAGTTGATTCAAAAAAATGACCTTCTATCCAAGTTTTCGTCTCCGTAGTGTTTAAGGACATTTTAACCGAAAGTTTATAAAGCTTGTCAATTGGAATTATGTCATTGTGTTTGTTAGGCTATAATGTCAACTGTTGATTTCAGAGGTGCCAGTGGATCTTGTGCAGTTTTATACAATGAAAAGGGTGAAGAACTAGCCATGGTGCGAGGACCCCACACAAACCACTGGGTAAGCAATACTTTTTTTTTTTTAAGAAATCTTTATTGTTTTTTCCATATACAACACAAAATACATTTACACATGAAAAAAAGAAAAAAAAAACAATAACCACCTTAGGTTAAAAACCTATGTTGGTGGATTTATACACTATCTTATGTTCTAAAAATCGAAGAGGCGGTTTTGTCCGGAGAATTGTTGAAAAACATTTTCCGTTACATTTCATTAAACATAGTACGGAGTGTCCCCAAACTCTACGAACCTTTTAATAATTTCTGGACCAAAGATAAACTAAAAGTTCACGTAACAAATCAAATGTTGAAAAAGGGGGTCAGTGGCCTTAAAATATTCAGTTTTCCTTTTTTGCTGTTTTTGTGAAGTTGGATGCCTACAATTTTTAAAATAAGCCTGCTTACTATGTTCTTTGTCTCTAAATTCTCAAGTTATAAGCCATTTCTAATCAAAACTTAATTTCAAATTGATACGCTCTTGATAAGTTCTAAAGTTTGCGCTGGACCAAATATCAGCAAATAGGTTTTGATTGCAGTCTTCAAGTACAGTTAAAGCAAATCATGATTATCGAGATGTGCTTATCAGTCAAGTAGTTCACTGCTTGAGTTTTCTACATTCAACCTGACCTTCCACAGTTTATTACTCGTTGCTTATTGGATTACGTAAACTCAAAGTAATCCTTTCTGATAATAGCTCAAGATGTATTTTATAACCTTACAAATTGTTTTTTATGAGAGACTAGCAGAGTACCTGTCCTAAAACATGCGTTGACGTAGATTTGTTTTGTCCTTATTGCTGTTACACCCGTGTTTTGCGACTAGTAAAGGACATGGAAAGGGACATTTTTTTAAATATACCCTAACCTCAATAGTTGGAAAACATCTAAAAAATCCCACAAAATAACATTCCTTAAATCATTTTCTGTCCTAAATCACAGCCACTCAATTCAATAGCTAAAATACAAAAGATTTACTAACACCACAATTAGCAATTGGCTAGACACCTTTCTTAACATAATCTTATCTAGTTGTTAATCGGTAATCTTCAAAACTATTAACAAAATTTAAAACACAAAACCAACTCGCAACATTGTAAATTTTCAAAAACAATTTTCATTGTTGAAATATAGATTTTTTCACCCCATCAGAAACCCAACTGCCAGAAGAGAACAGAATACAGGAACACCAATTGTCTCATGCTCAGCCTTGCCTCACTCGTTACATTTGGTGTTCCAATGTTCGGTTTGCCTCTTAAATGAAACTTGAGAACATAAAAATACTATTTAAGTTTTTGCCACTGGGAAAATAAGTAAATAGAGATAATATAGTCATGACTATTCCTTATTTTTAATTAAGCATTTTCATATTTTCAGCTCTTGGGGTTGGAAGGGTGTCATCAAAGACTTCAAGATTTAGTAGTCACTGCTCTTAAAGAGGCCAAGGTACCTCCCAGCACAAAACTGAATACATTAGTAAGTAAATTTTTCCTATTTCAAGCTGAAAATTATTAGTCATAAAATGTAGTTTATTATTTCAGTATTTTCATACCGTAGGCCTATTCTTATTTATATCAACCATAAAAAACCAAGAAGACATTCAAAATCATTTTTATACAACTTGGACTATTTGTTCATAATATGAATACAATATTTTGGAACTAGAAATAGTTCAGTCACTTAATAATTTTGTTAAAAAAGGGTAGAGATATCTTTAGGTTAATGTTAGAGTATTTCTTTTTCTTGTTGAAAGGTTTTTAGGAAAATAATACTTATATTCCTTCACACATATAGGCTAAACTGTGAAACGGTCACTTGTAGCGTGTCAGATTCAAATTTCACGAACAATCGAGGTTTCACACTCTACCGTATCAGCTGTCTGGTGAAAGCATGACGATTTCTACACTGTTGCATGTGCTGTTTGCGTTTACATTTCTCGAGTATGTTATGAAAACACCGGCAAACCTCAAGTGTCAAGTGTCTCGGTGTGTATGTGTGATTTTAATCTTTAAAAATAGTGTCACTTTGCTCAATAGTAGCACAAACAACTATTGCAACTTGTCTGATTGCAACTTAACCCTGCATCTGGCAAATGACTATTGACTAGTGGCTTTAAAACTATTTCCTCCACTGGCAAACGACTAGTCAATAGTCGTTTGAGCATCAATTTTTTAACCGCTTAGTTTCAACAGAAAACATCACTGTATTAGATATTGCATTATTATCATTTACACAGGAGATTCCAAAGTTTATTTTGACATAGGGTGGTCCAAAAAGAACTGACACATTTAAGCATACATTTTTATTTACAAAATTTCAACTAGATGGTTACATTTACATATGTACACTGTACAGATAAAAAAACTCATAAAGTTTGTGGTGATATTCAACAAATCTCAATATGGCCACTTTTTAAGGCTTTGCCGGCGTTAAATCAAAATTTAGCACATAGCACACATTTGCTGCATTTCTCGGGGATGGAATTAACATCGCATAGGCAACGCCGGCAGAGCCTTAAACGGTGGCCATACTGAGATTTATTGAATATCACCAAACACTTTTTAAGTTTTTCTATCTATAAATATGTAAATGTTTCCATCTAGTTAAAATTTCGTTAATAAAAATGTATGTTAAAATGTGTCTGTTTTTTTGGGCCACCCTTTAAATAGTTTGTTTAGTAACCATGATTTAACAATATTTTGAAAGCTAAGAATAAAAACATATAATGTCTCAACTGCGTGTTTAGCGCGGTGTGAGGTAAAATTCAATCTTATATTTTTACATACAAATAATATTAAATATGACTTTATTACTTTTTCCATATAAAGAACCTTTTTCTAAAAGTGTTGTCTATATCTTAGACTTTTAATAAAAAATCTTTTGTATTTTTCCCTGTCTCTAATTTTGAAAAAGTTTACATGCCCTTTTATTTGTTTTTGTTCTTACAAGTAAACAGTTTTACACATTCTTTTTTTGGTATCTGTCAATGGTTTAAATTTGTTCCTTGTAATGTCCTGAAAAAGAAAATATATAATAGTATGTACTTTTGTATGGTAGAACACAATTTATACAGCTCTCTAAAATAACTTGACTGGGACGGGTGGCGTCGTTCTGTAATCCAGCTACTAGGAGGTCACGAATTGTGGATATTTATAGGCATGCAATGTGGATGCGATACTCCCCAGTGTGGATTAACGTCCGCACAGGTGAGTACTACGACTATCCCCAGTACTATCCTGATAATTAGACCAATTCGTAATTACCAAGGGAAAAATGTGGTTCGGATTCCACTATAAACTGTAGGTCCCTTAGTTTCAATTAGCTGTATGGGCTATTAATTAACAGCTGTGTCTAAGGAATGTCGGCCTTAGTCACTAACAAGACTACAAGATCGCGCCACTCATCCTACACTCATCTCCATTCATACTTGGCTTAAAACACCTACTTTGTATGGTCGCCATTTCATAGAACAGTATTATTAACAGAACAGTATTATTAACAGAACAGTATTATTAACCTCTGTACATAGTAAAAAATGGCCTGACAGTAGAGAGATTTGTAGTTGCCAGATGCAGGGTTAACAACTTATCTCATTGCAGGGGCTGAGCCTGAGTGGATGTGAAGGGGATGACAGTTGTGAAGAGATGAAGCAGGGGATGGCTGAGAAATACCCAAACCTGAGTGAACATTACGTGGTCTGGAGTGACACTGTCGCTCCCGTCATTGTGGCTCATGAGGAAGGTCCGTGAAATTGAACGATTTAACACCTCAAAAGTTTATTTCAGATTACATTAATTGTTGCCAAAAATACAAAATGATTCTAAAGGTATTTTTTCTCCTTTGAGGTCGCCTGAGCTACGTGTGTTTGTTATCGAGTAGTTTAAAAAGAGTAATGATTCAGTCTTTCCAATTTAGCGGCAGTTCTGTGTTCTTTCAATTAGGTCTACATGGAGAGGTTCCTTCGCGATCATATTCAGGACAATCGACAAAATTAACCAGATTAATTCAAATTAATTTGTAGGGATGAAAATTAAGGTATCAAAATTTGTGTAACCGATAGTCAGACATGTTGAAAGCAGCCAATTGTTTTCAGGTGGGCCTACAAGGCCTGTTTCTCACAGCAGCACGAACTCTATCGAATGTTACTAGTCCCACACTAGGTTAGTAACCTACGGCATGGTTGTGCTACGGTCGGAACTTATCCATGTCACCCTTATTGAATGAATGTAAGGAACTGCTGCTGAGTTGCAATGACTGAATCATTACTTTGTAAAAATGACTCGATAACAAACACATGTTCCTCAGGCGACCACTGCTCTATGACTGCAGATAATGGCAGTTTGTAGGCTTTTCAATGAGCCTAACCCTACCACCCTCAGATGGACTGTCGACGAACAGTGCTCAGTAGAAAATATATGGTTTTTTTACCGCACCCTGTATAAGTAGCTACTTTCATTATTTTACCTTAAAAGTTTTTCTTACAGGTTTTCATCCTTACAAGCAACCTCTTGAGGTTTTAATTTGTGGTAGTTGCTCTTAGAGGTTTTTATCATGTTAACTTTCTAAAGGGTTTTACCTAATATTTCCTTAAATAGTTTTTTATTCTTACAAGCGGACCATATTTAAGAATTTTACTGAGAGATTTTTTTGATATGAGTAACTCCTTTGGTTTTCCATTCTTGCAAGATGTCTCTTTTAAGGTTTTTGTGAGTTCTTTGTAAGTTGCTTCTAGGAGGTTTTAATCCATCCCATTTCAAAGGTTTTAATTTCTATAAGTTTGTCTCTGTTTACAGGTGGTGTAGTGTTGATATCAGGAACGGGAACTAACGCACTCCTCATCAACCCCGATGGTAGCCAGAGTCGTTGCGGAGGTTGGGGCTTCCTGTTAGGCGATGAGGGGGGAGGTGGGTACAGCTCGTGACATCTAAGCTGGCACTTGGCGGATCACTACTAGTATTTAGTTCAAAAACATTATGTCCCGTCATGCGGGCTGCATCAACTGTCCTCGCGACCCATATGAAGGCGCTCATGTACATAATACAAGGAAAGGCAACCCCGTGAGGCAGCGGAAATGTTTGCAGTCCGGTCTTTTCCCTACCTCCACCCTCCTCCCGCCTACACTGCCCGCGCTAGGCCAAGTGCCAGCTTAGGTGTCACGAGCTGTACCTTTGACTAATAATTATAGAACTATACATTCCCTCCCCATGGTAAAGCTGTCTCCAGTTTATGAATCAAAATGGAAGTTGAGTTGAGCCAACGACAGATTGTATAACCTGATAGTATGACTTACTGTAATTGTTAGTGTCTTTTATGACATATAAATAATCTCAGTACAGTAATAAAAACATAAGAGGAAAAATAAAATTTGAGACTTTAGTGCAATCTGTAAGTGGCTCATTCAACCGTGTGCTTTTTTTAGTCAAAAATAGGCTGCATATTTTTTATATAAAGGGTGGCCGAAAAGTCTATTTACACTAAAGGTAAATTCAATTGGTGTTGATTAAAACCATGAATAAATTATTTTATTCAGAAATTTACCGTGAACTACACCAAGTGAGCATAATTTTGAGTCCAAAACATCGGAATGCATTCCTCCATTGTCTCGGCAAAGCTTGACTCCAAGTTCGTTGGCTCATTTGTTTCAGCATTTCTGGGGTGACTTGTGCAAAGGCTGCCCTAACTCTATACTGGGTGTTGCCGCGAACTAGGGCTGTGGCGGTGGTTGGGAAGGGAGAGTGAGGCTGCGTTCTCTCCCCCCACTGTTCCCTCACTACTCACTTACGAATATTTGATAATCAGTGGTGTTTAGTGTAATACGTAGGCCCTACTGCAATATTATGTAAAGGGAATTTTCGGCCACCACGTAGATGGGATGTCTACTTCAGTGTCCAAAACCAAAAGTTAAAAAATGGTACTATACAGGCCCTCTGTAGTGCGCTATGGGCCTAAAGATAATTGCGTCCTTCTCCACCTTCATTGTGCAGGAATTTTATTCTTCCTTGCACCCCCAACACCTAAAACCTCTTGCACCCCTGGGGGCATAAAAAGGGTATTTTTTATTTGACCAAACTATTGTTGTTGTAGCTTTTTGGATAGCACACAAACTGATTAAAGTCTACATAGATGAACAAGACAAGCTGGAAAAACCTCCAAAAAACTACAGCACCCAAAAAGCATGGGAGTGTGTTCAAAAGACCCTTATGGTAAAAGACAGGTAAGGAAATTAGTAATTTTTGCATCATGTTAAGGTTAGTGTGACTTTTTCTACGAGTTCAAATTTAACTATATTAGGTGTAGAGAATGTGAGGAATAGAAGTGTGAGGTGATAAATGGTGGTGGAAGAAAATATTATGTCTAGTTTATGGTCAGAGTCGGGAAGAAGCATCGATATGTATGTAATGTAAGATATTTTAAATAAATAGCACGAATAAGGACAGTTTAATTATAAATGCTAACAAATTTGTTCATGTTTATGTAGGTTTGACCTGCTGCCTCACTTTTATCGCAACTTTGAAAAGTCAGAGATAGCTGGACTGACAAAAGAGTTTGCGGACGTAGCTCGCCAAGGCGACCCACTTTGCCAGTGGGCATTTAGTGAGGCGGGACGAGCCTTGGCCAAACATTTGCTAGCCATCAGTCCAGATGCCGACAAGGTAACCCTGTAAATGTAATGAGTAAAAAATACAAATTATATTTACTTGTTGGATTTATAAGTAGGCTTAGCTCTTATTGATAATTTACGAGGGATATTTAGAAATTAAGGAACATTTTGGAATTTAATAAACATTTTATTAGAAAAAAGTTACTACAGTTGTACTACTCTTTTACATACTCACCAAAGAAACACCCAATTGGAGCACCTCGTTGTCATTAAAACGCTTATGTGTTCATTTTGCAAACTAATAAAATTCACTCGGAGCAAAGTTTGGACTGTAGGGTGGTTAAGGGGAAATCTATAATTTAAATGAATGGAATACACTGTTTCTTGTGTTGTGTGTTGTTTGTTGTTGTGTGTGTTTACACTGTTTCTTGTTATTGTTACTTTTTTTTCACAATGTTGTAACTGTTGCAATTCACTCAAACTGTCCACCACCACCACCCAACTTCTTACTCATTTATTGATGTTTTCTATTGTATTATCTTGTTGCATGTAAATCTTGTCTAATGTATTATTTTGTAAAATGGCGATTGCCGTCGGAATGAATAAATAAATAAATATTGCATGCAATTTGCCGTGGGAAATCGGGTATATTTGGGACATCAACTTTAAGTTTGACCATTTTAAAACTGAATGCACGATTTCCGGAAGAACATCCATTTATTGCTTTGTTTTCGAACATTTCTCACACCTTATGATAGATTTCCATACTTTTAAGTTTATGGCCAGCAAAAACCTTTTAACAAACCCCACCTCACAACTAGCGGGATTTTTAATCGCAGCATACTTATGTAATGTTGTGACAACGAGCAGCCCAACTATTTTTCCACTATGATGGCTGAACAGTATTGAGGAGGCGAACTTGTCTGTATTAAAAAGTGTGCCAACAATGTCAGCCTTCTTTTTTTTCTGAACAGCTCTTGTATTTGTCTGTTAGTCGATACAGTAGACTCCCTCTTATCCGGACATCTTTTAACCAGACATCGGTTTAACCGGACTACACTCTGCGGAAATGACATCTCTTTAACCAAACAATTTTTATCAGCACATCGGTTTAACCGGACTAGATAGGTAGGAAGTGGGCGGTACTGAAACGTCTGTTCTCGTGGGAGAGATTTGAGACCAGTGATCACGTGTCTAAGTACAGTGCTCTCCTAAATTTAAATCAAATATTTGCGTTACTTAACAAGTTTTTGGGGACATCGGTTTAACCGGAAAACCCGTTATCTGGACTGGCATCGGTCCTGAGGAGTCTGGATAAGAGGGAGTCTAGAAATTTTGTTTCAAAGAGATTTACAAGCGTTACTTTAGTTTATATAATGTTTTTAATGCATAATTTTGTTTTAATGTGTATGCCTTATAATTTACCTGCCTGAACTGTAGCACCCATATGTACAGTTACGATAATGCAGAACTTATCAGCATGCTTATGTTACTTAGTTTACTGTTGGGCGTTAGCTGCCAAACATTAACTGTTGTCCTATAGCTGCATTGGGTCTGGATTAATGATGGGTTTCTCTATTTATATACTCTGGAGTATTTTCTCAGGTAAGCCATCCTATTTCTATCCCGTTTCAATTGATCTTAAAAAATAAATATCAATAAAATGTAACATGTGTATAACATAAAATATTGATTGCAGAGTCTATTAGAATGTGAGGGCGGTCTACCAGTTGTATGCGTCGGTTCCGTTTGGAGAAGCTGGGATCTTTTAAAACCAGGATTTCTGGACCAATTGAACTCGGCTGACGAGAAGAACTGCTTAAAAGAAGCATCACTAATACATCTCAAAACATCAGTGGCGTCTGGCGCCACATACCTCGCGGCAAAAACGCACGGCTACCATTTCCCTAGAAACCACTCCGACACTTATGAGGTATTCTTCCACTACGTTCGGGAATAGTCGACAAAGAAACAAATTGACTTAGAATGTAAACTGTGATAGTACTACATTTAAAATCTCATAATCGAATGCTCAAAGTGGCTGTTAAATTGTACGGTAATTTTAGAGTGAAATAATCTAATATATAAAATTCTCGTGTCACAGTGTTTGTCTGCAAACTCCTCCGGAACGACTTCACCGATCGTTATGAAATTTGGTGTGTAAATTCTGTAGGTATGCGAATCGGACGTAAACTATTTCCCGTTTCGAAATTCTTAAAAGGGCTCCGCCCCAGTGGCTCTGGAGTTTCCCATGTTAACCTTATGAGAAATGGAATTAATGAATCTTAACAGCTGTTTCAATTAAACAAGTTGGTTCTGTTCTATGATGTTCAATAGCATTTAAGTTACAAGGATTACCAACAGGGTGCAGCACTATTATTTCTTTTACATTTATGACAACAGCTAATTTGCAACCAAAAGGTGAGTGAGCGTAGCGAACGAACTTCAACCTGGAGGCGAGTGAGCGTAGCGAACGAGCTAACCTGAAGGCAAGTGAGCGCAGCGAACGAGCTCCAACCCAAAGGTGAGTGAGCGTAGCGAACGAGCTCCAACCCAAAGGTGAGTGAGCGTAGCGAAGGAACTTCAACCAGGACGTGATTGAGCGATGCGAACGAGATCATCTTGAAAATTAAACGTAACGGTACTTTCTTTCCATCGGTCTGTCTTAGGGGAAACCTATAACTTAGGCGATACGAAGTTCGCCGGGTCAGCTAGTTTAAGTATAAAATTTTGATTGAGTGATTCCGACTATCGAACAAAATGTTTGATGAAATATAATGTCTTCATATGAAATAATCTAAAGTTGATTTGTCAAAATCAACATGTGAACTGAGACATAACCATTTTCAGGTCCGAAAAAGGAGAAGAACTATAGGCTGGGTTAGGCTACTCTTGTTTAGTTTTCAATAAATAATTAACATTAGCCTATTCTCAAAATATCTGAAAATGCTGTAGCTAATCAAATTTATTTCAAAACACTACCTTTTGACAGAGCCACGATGTAAAAACTTTTTAAACTTATAAAAAAAAAATTAGGTATCCAAGTTTATGATATACATCAACTATTATTGTCTCCCAATTTTAAGTTTTTTTTTTGTTATCCGTGTATTTTTAACTTTTTAAATGTTTAAAAGTTTAAGTTTTCGTAAAGATATACATGTACATATTTGTATTAAGGTTTTCCTAGAAAACTTGTGTATATTTTAGAATATAATACATGTCTTTACTACATTCCATTATTATAATAGTTTTTAAGTTTTAGATGTTAATCAAGAAGCCCCAGCAAAGCTGGTTTTCAGTGCTTCTTTTACTGAAATATTGTACAGTCGGAAATAAGAGATCTTTAAGTTCTGGTAAGGTAAAACATATTGCCTATACATACACTCATATAGGGTGCTGAACTGTGTTCAAAAAGTTACTGGGACTAGTCATGCTTATGTGAAGGTATTTCATTCATACCACAATAATTATCCTTCACCAAAATACAAATCTTGGTATGCCAGTAGCTATTTTAAATGCAAATAAGTAATAAAAACTGGCAAAGATTTTGTTAGATGAATACATATGCATACATGTCATCAGGTTTATGGTAGAATATAATGTGTTTTACAATAGTTGTTACCCTTTTGTAAAGTATGTCTTGAATACCTTGTACAGGGTTAATAATGATAATCAATTGACTAAATGATCAACAACAATAACGGTTTTCGATTTTTCTTGTTAATTTATAATAAAGAAATACCATTTTGTTACAATTGTGGTTTTATTTGTTCAAACTTTTTGTTACCTATTTATTTACCATACTACCTATGACATTATCATTTTCAACCCTTTGAGTATAGGTTTCTATTTTTGATCGTTTGGGAAAATGGCGTGCGGCGACCTATACTCCTCGCCATTCGGTTACGTTTGGAGGCGCTGAATATTTTATAGTTTAAATAAATGAATAAGGGGAATTACGGTTTACATTGATTCAATGAGGGTGGTTTAATTATTAAGGATATTAGAACTGATAATGGAATGGATAATAAACATAGACAATTAATTACGTCACTAGCTTTACTAGCGTGTTTTACGCATAATAGAGATCGATGGTTTTACGTTTTAAATTCCTTCAACATGTGACCAGTTATTTTGTTCAAATGAATATTATTTTATTTTTGACTCAGCTGTTTACCAAAACAAACTTTATGTTGATGCTTTTACTTTTCTTTGTTTACACTTATTTATTTAGCAATTGATGCAGTGAAATTGATATATAGGATATTTGTGGACGATTCGTTTAATGATGTCAGGACACCAACGTTATAATTATGTGTACTGTGAATTTTGTTGGATGTTTTAGTTTTATTTTAGGGGTTTTCTATTCGGCCTACTGGAAATTGTGTATAGTATGAGTAGTTGTATTGTGTTGATATTGATTATGGAAGAGGCATGTATACGATGGAATTGGAAGGTGATATCGTTGACTAGGCCTGTACACTTTCTCAATTGATAATTACTCTTTCTACTGTAGGATGCTATAAAATTTGTCTTTATACGTGTAAGATAGCTGTTCTGATTTATACACAGTTTTAACTGACTACTCCAGTACGTAGGACGGGCTCAAGTAACACCTCGTTTTTATATAAAAATATTTCACCTTATAACACTATGAAAAGACCAACTAAATTATAAAGTGACTATCTGCATACCAACTGTTTAAGGAAATAAATTATTTGTGAGAAACTAAATCATACGATAATTTAGTAAAGGGTGGTTCAGCAGATAATGCAAGATTCATAATGAAAAATATAACTAATTTATTATAAATAACTAATTATAAATCAAGTTCTTCTTCTGTAGGCAAAAAGAGTTTTTCGACCATTTCATCGCTGACATCTTCTAGCTTTTCTGGATTCCATTTTGGAACTCGTTTCTGCTTTAAAGCTGTGGTGCCTGTTGAAAGAAAAATTAATAGTAAATATAATTTATATTCCATAAGAATTTTTACAAGGCGCTCTGGGTTTGAGTAATCTATGTAGTATGTTTTGAGTTTTATTGATATTCGGATTTGACAAAACAAGCTAAATTCATTAAAGATATAGCGTTAAGAAAAAATTATATTTTTCATTAAATTTAATTTTCAGAGGAGTAAAAAGTTGTCATATTGCTACTTAGTTTGCTGTATATAGAAAATCAAGTCTTTATAGCTTCAAAACGAAAAGTAATATCACAAGCCGGTAATATTAAGCTAATGTTTTAGTATACATTTTGATGGGACGGCCCATAGGGAGTAAAATGATCATATAGGTAAGCACAAGTTGATATGTACATCAAATTAAAGGTCTTGTTGAACCAAAAACAATGCCGCAAATCGGATCTCAGACGGATAACTGAGTCAAAAATGGCAGCCGTTCAAAGATTTCTTGAATCTGCCATTTTAAATCTTTACACGGCTGCCATATTTTTAACTCAGATGTTCTTTTCAGCTCAAATTTGAGGCATTGTATTATTAATAAAGACCTTTAATTTGATGTGCCTTTTGATACCTAATTTAATATCAACCTACGTTTGCGTTTATGATTTTCTTCCCTCTTCTAACTGAGGAGATAGCGTATACAACAGTAATAGCAAGTTCAATGAATCTTTGAATCTCTTCTAATATATAGACAAAATTACAGTAAATACAGTTAATATTGATAGCTAATTCACAAAAAAAGTTTGTTCCTTTAAATAGCATTGGATCTTAAAGTGAAAAAAATGTATTGAAATATTTGTTAAATAACGATGGTTGAAAATAGTTTTGTTTGAAACAATCGGATATAGATTGAATGAATGAATAAAATTAATGAAACTGTAAATGGGTTTTAAAGTGTTGAGCATTTAAAAGGTAGCAAAGGTTGAAGAAACATCTGAACTTATAACATAAGCGTAATCCACACCAATCTACTAACCTTCATAAAAATCACAGGAAGAGATGGCTCTAAATGCAGCCTTCGCCAGTCTATGATCCATTTGTAAGCATTCTTTCATACTCATACCGGAAGCTTTCTCTAACTGCGTTTTCACCGTTTTCAGCGCAATTGGTGACATCTTGTTCAGTTGATTCAAAGTCACTTTACTAAATTCAGACCCTTCAGAACGCAGCCTTTCCATAATCTCCTTGACACTTTGAGCGGAAAATACTCTATCAATCAATTGTAAGTGAGGTGTTAGACTCAGAACATGGTCAGAAATATCCTCTGAATAGTTCTCAATCACATTTTCTAAATCGTTACCCTCGTTCTTCAAAATGTCGTCAATAAGAGCAGAAAGGTTTTTACTCTCTACAAAATGGGACGCATAACCGATCTTCACTGCGTCCTTTCCATGTAGTTTGTGCCCAGTTAGAGCTAAATATAAACCCAAATTTCCCAATCTTGAGAAGAAATAACTCGTTCCCACATCCGGGAAAAAACCAATCGATGTTTCGGGCATTGCGAAAACGGATTTTTCTGATGCGATGCAGTATTTTCCTGAATGTGACAAACCTACTCCGCCTCCCATAGCAATTCCATCGACTAAAGAGATGTATGGGATCTTGTATTTGTTTATGGTGTACACTATTGTATAAGCGTTGTTGGTATTCTCGATCCCATACTGAGGATTTGATGGACCACCAGCTGCCATTGCAAATACATCACCACCAGCACAAAATGCTTTATCGCAAGCAGACTTTACAACAACTAGATCCATTTCATTTTCCCATTTTTTTAATGTAGATAAAATAGTCGTTGTCATTGGTAAATTAAGAGCATTTAAAGATCTTGGCCTGTTTAAGGTAATCACTCCTTTATTCTTGTTACAAACTTCGACCAAAATTTCTTGGCTGGTGTTTTTAGCGGGATCATTCTTCTCCATGATGTAGAAAATCCCAATAGATTGTAGCAATGAATCTAAACAGCTGGTTGTGTTATACAGGGTGTTTTTCTAACGCAACCTAAGTAGACACTGTTTAAGGAAAAAACACCTCATAATTTGGTATCCTTGTTTTCTATTATGCACTGTTGTCTATAAGGCTTAGTGTTATTGTTGCATATTTAATGGGCAAGTCAAAATGAATGAGTTTTGTTCATCAGTGTGAAATAATCTTAAATATTTTAATTGGCAATAACACAATTAAACTAGCTGGTGCGCAGATTGGTTTATACTTCAGTATTTGTTGTTTAAATTTTGAAATTTGTTTATCTTATTAAGCTTAGATTTAAACCACAGTTTCCATTACTTACCAGAAGACACTCAACATAGATGGTTTGCTAGACCAACTCATCGTGATAGTATACAAAGGCAAACAAACTATATCAGCGTGGCAGTGTAGTTTTTATCACTATTCTGATTACAGATAGTCAATGTTTAATTTTCTATCACAAAATGTAATATACACTTTTCTCACATCCTTAAAAATTCAATTAGATTTTAGGAAATTTTAGGAAGTGTAGTTTGGTTTAATTACAACTCTAAATTATCGTTTAGTGTTTTGTAAATATGCACAAACAGCTGTGATGTAGTGATACAATTTGAGTTGAGACAACAGCACAATTTGTTGAGATAAAACACATTATACGAAGAATCCGAAATTGAAAGGGACTTGTATTTATGTTTAGTTGCATAGTGACAATACTGGTACAAAAAATACAGCTACAGCCACGGTTCCACAGAACAATAATCACAGCTTCTGCATGCAAATTCATCTCAGCTCCTTAACATTATATAGTGTAAAATTATATAGATCTGTTAATGAAACTTCTAATTATTTTGTGTTTCAAATCAACCTGCCCTCTGCTTGAACTAAAAAATTCAGGGTGTATAAAGATGGCACACGGTAATAAAATACCCTTGGTTGATAAATTATCATTATCAATTCGGGAGCACCATCTATGTGCGTATATTAACCCAAAAAGTGAAGGATGAGTGTAGAATGGAGTGAGATGATCTGCATAGCTTTGTTACGGATTAAGATCAGCTGTTTCATTAGCAAGGATAATTTATTTAAAGCCCAATGATCGAGGACAGCTGGGTACAGTTTTGAACCATCAAAAAGCTACTGACTTTTCTCAGGATCGATCCAGCAACCTTTTGATTGTTGGGCGAGCTACTCAGCTACCTAACCAGTCAAGGATCTGATGATGAAATGATCCTGACTAATGAAACAGCTGATCTGAGTAACAACGCTACAGATCATCTCACTACATTCATGTTCAGCTTAAAATAGAGACCAAGTGTGCATTGCTGTCTTAAAGAATTGATAATAGATAAAGTAGTGATTAAATATTAAGTAGGCCTAAAGGTCTCAAAACCAAACAAACTCATGTTGAATGTTTTTATAAACGTATAATATAAAAATATATCCTCCAAAAAAATAACAAAAAATATAAAATATAGACACCACATCCTGACCAAGTTTCTGTAACATCTTCGATTGATTTTACCTAACATCAAACACTACTCCAATTACATTCTCCACTTAACTGAATATTCCAAAAACTATTGATTACTTTTAACAGATCAACTTCATTGAGTTTTTTTTTTCATTTCTTCACCCAATAAAAAAAAACATTCAGTGAGGTTAAATTTTAAAGGTTGAATATTTAATTAGTTAAAAGTTAGCTAGATTAAATAAATCTACTTTAATTACACTATTGTGGTGTTTAATCACCAGAAACTGATGCTGATGTTTTAGTCTGTTATCTTACAGATCAGTTTCTGATCTCAACTAAAGTAGTATGGAGGATTACTAGACTCCTTGGATAACCATTACAGATCTTAACATGTCCACAAGATCGTAACATTAGCACGCTAAGTCGGTGTTGTTGCCGGTTTCACAAAAAAAATACCACAATCGTGTTATTCAAGACTGTGGATGCCTTACTAGTAGGGTAAATTTATTTTAACTTTGAAATGAGGAATATATGCCATTTCACAGGGATCTCTATGGCAGATTTTCATCACAATCATCCTTTTAAGACACTAGCAGGAGTCCAAGTAATTTACTAAAGCTCATATTCTCAAAGCATTGTTGTAGACACCTCAGATTGTTTTCCAATATCCTAAAGTCGACTCTCCCGGTTTGAAGATAGCTTAAGCTCTTCTTCAGGTGAGATCGGTAAAAACACTTTATTCACCATATCATCAGTAACTTCTTGGAGACTGGATGGGTTCCACTTTGGATTTTGATCCTTGTCTTTTAATAAGGCTCTCACTCCTGTAATAAAAATAAGATTTGTAGGTACACAGTTCTGCGAGTTTATCAAGAAATCTTACAATAACTTAACTGACTGATTATAAGTTATCGTGTAAAATATTAAAAGCTTTTGTCCTAGAAGAAAGATTTTCAGTTAAGATGCAAAAAACTTCCCTGGATGTTTAATAGGACTCTCAGGACAGTAAAGGTTCTTAGTGGATTAAAATGACAAGACATGTGGAAAAATCCAGTCAAAATTGATCAGTATTTTATACTTAGTACACCTGGAAGTACCCTGAACCCTCTTATAGAAAAGTTAGCGCAAGGATAAATAGAGTAAGGGAAATCAGTTGATAATTTTTTTCTTGCTTTAGACTACAACTTGGGAAATTATTATATACAGTACACCTTCAATAGTTTGACACCGGCTGAGGCTATCTAAACATTAGCGATCGATATTTTGTTTTTTGTACGCTGGTCAACGACCGGGACCAGTACTTTCTAGTTATCAGAGAGAAAAACAATGGAAGATCACAAAATATTTAACGTAGGGATATTTAATGATTACTATTTATGATGTAAGTTGACTTAAACATTAGTTTGTCATTTATTGTTGACTTGAGACTAATGATTGAACAGTGAAATTGTTAGCTTTTTAGCATTTAATAAATTTGGGTGATTTCTATATAAAACTTCTATTTTTACTATCCTGCATATTTAACTCCATTTACTCCCTATAGTTCAACACCCTTAAGTCCACAAAGTGTCGGAACTATCGAGGTTCTCCTGTACCACCAGATGTTATCAGAAATGGCTACACAGCTTTAAAAAGTTTAAATGAAACAGGAAAAAACAAATATATAGGCCTATTTATTTATAAATTCAATACAAAGTCCCTCAAACTTGGTTTAAAGAATTAAGAAATTAAAATTACACTGAAAGCAGCAATACAGGATAAGTCAGGAGCAACATGTACACTAGTTCAAAACTAATTATCTCGGCTTAAATATGATTAAATGTTGGGGTTTGATCAAAAGTTTAGTTATTTCCTGTTCCATTTTAAATGTACCTACCGGTACAGGATTTTTCATGTTAAAGGACAAGTCGGTAACAAAATGGACTGCGATATTGTGGTAGTCATGGGCTTGCGTCCCAGTACTATCACTAATCTTTCTTGGCTTACCCAGCTTCCTGTCCTTGATAAAATCCATGCATATGGCTGAGGCTCACGTGGACAATAAATGAAAAATCAAAGAAGCCGACATCTTAAAAAAATGATAGTTTCCGTTCCACTTCTTGTGGACTACAAAAGATTTCTCCATATTATAATAAGTTTAACTAAAACTACTTAAGAGCTTATAACATAAGCTACCTTCATAAAAATCTGGAGAAGACGTAGCCTCTAAAGCAGACTTGGCAAGTCGAAACTCCATTTGAAGACACTCCTTGAGAGACATTTTGGCTCCTTTTTCCAATTCTACTTTGGAAATTTTCATAGAAATTGGAGACATTTTATTTAAAAGTTTCAAAGTGTCTTGACTAAATTGAGAACCATCTTTTTCTAGCCTTGTAAAAATCTCTTCTACAGTCGAACCAGAAAATGCTTCATTTATAAGCCCCATGTTTTGAGCCAGGCTAAAAGTGTGATCAGAAACATCAACTGAGTGTTTCTTAATTGTACTTTCAACGTCACCGTCACCTTTCAATATAGCTTCGTATAGCGTAGGAATATTTTTACTCTCAATATAATGAGTACCGAATCCAATTTTCACAACGTCTTTCCCTTTCAGTCTTTGTCCAGTAAGTGCCAAGTAGAGCCCGAGTTTTCCCTCTAATCTAGAGAGAAAATAACTCGCTCCAACATCTGGGAAAAGACCGATCGCTGTTTCAGGCATTGCGAACAACGTTTTTTCAGTTGCGATTCTGTATTTTCCATTAACAGAAATACCAACTCCACCACCCATTGTGATGCCATCGATTAAAGCTATGTATGGTTTCTTGTATTGACTAATGATGTAGTCCATAGTATACTCCTTGCGGAAGAAGTTTTTGCCATGGTTACAGTTTGTAAGACTTCCGGAAGTTACAGCGACAACATCGCCTCCAGCACAAAATGCTTTCTCTCCGGCACCTCTTACCACAACGCAATCGACTTTGTGTTCCCAGTCTTTTAACTTCTCAAGAATTATAGTCACCATAGCTTCATTTAAAGAATTTAAGGCTCGGGGCCGATTCAATGTCAATACACCTTTGTTATTGATTATCTCAGACAGCACTACTTCATCGTTGCCTGGTTGGGTTGACATGTTTCTTGAAAAACGTAAAGGTTTAGACAAACTTGAGCGAGTCAAAAAATTTACTGTGTTTAGTAAAGAGCTTGTCCCCCAGCGTACCTGTAAAACAACAAGCCATATTAATTATTTGAAGTAAAGATAAGAAAGGAGAGTCATGATTTGAAAGTGGTATTGAATTTGAGGAAAATGTACTAAGATTTAATTAGGCTTATTCTGAAAAAAGTGGGATGTAAGAAGCATAGTGTAACTTAGTTTATGAGTAAAATTTGAAGATTATGGCTATATAATAAGTTTACCTATATTCAATTCAATTTGTTTATTCACGGCAGAAGCCATTGTACAATAATACCATCACATACGGGAGATAACAAGCAATAATAAAAATAATACAATAGGTGAACACAAGATGCATATAGGCCTAAAAAAATCTATGATATCAAAGAATTTATCCAATGGAATCGAACAAGTAAGTTAGCCTACATCACAGTTCTGCCAAGTACAACCTAGGTGAAGAATGTTTACAGGCAAAAACCATCCTCGATCCTAGCTCATTTAGAGAATGATGCCCGATTTAACATACTTCATTGAGGGAGGTTTATTTCTCATTGTCTAACTTTCATCTTAGGCATTTACTTAAAGACTGATGTATCAGAGTTACCATACACAAACGCTTTTAGGGCGAGCGGTCCAAGCTCATATGTTTAGTCGGTGGACCAGAAAAAAACTCTTCCCTCTCGCATTTGAAGTCAGAGGCACAAACCATTAAACTATACATAAGTTAGGTCTACTCAAAGGTTTGACAGAGGAATAACATTAAGTAGATTGCTTTCCTTGAGCTCACAGCAGCCTACGGCATTGTTTGTAGGAAGGCTCTTGTAAACTCATCAACTTTTTCTCTTGCCAGTAACTTACTTACTTCTGACCTACCATGAGAATGTTTACCGTACAGTCCTCGTCGGACGTAACTTAACATTGAAGTTCTAAGAAATTAAAAGTTTAAACTTAGGATGTGTTAAGTTATTAAGTTAATGCAGAGATTAGGCCTAAGTGATTCGTAGCTCACTTAACACGTTCACTGCGGGCGTATCCGATCGGATACGGGCCGAGCGCTGTTCAGGTGCTGCCGTAACCGTTCGGATACGCTCGGCAATGCCTTACATATATCCTCGTTTTAGCTCTAGCGTCGGTAGAAGGCGGACCTTTACCACGTTAGCGTGTAGTGGGTGACTTGCTTTTTGTTGTGTTGTAGGTTGGTAGTAAAATTTCCCCATAAAATCCCTGTCTGGCAAACTTAAAAATCAACTTGTTGTCCCGTCTTTCTCCCTCCAATTGGCAATACAATATGGGACCGGCTACGTTCCAAGCAGTGCTGCTGTCTGTGAGTGTTTAGCGAACTACGTCGACTCTTGTTATAAAGCAGGACATCACCGCACGTTATTTGCTATTCGTCATACCGAAATATGAGTGTCAATCACCCGGCAATCGGGTTTGTTCGAAGCTGCGGGCTGCGCCGCACTGGGGCTACGCCTGCCATTTGATGGCCCGCAGCGAACGTGTTAAGCTGTCAGTTTATCCAGCCCATAGGCCTAGGGAAAAATATGTAAGCCTATTTCCTATATCCCAGATATTCCTTTGCAAAACTCCACAGAAGCCTAGTAGCCTATTTTCAGTGCAAAAAACAACAAAAACATTTTTCGTCAATCAGGACAAAATAAAAGGCTTACCATCATGCAGATTCCTTGAAGTTAGTAATACAAATTGAATGAAAACTCTTCTGCTTGCTATAAATGATGAAAACCATAAGAAACCGGTATTCAGAATCTAAAATCCCTCAGTCACTCTCAGGAGGAGGAAAGTAACGAAGAGCGCTCTTATTGTTTGTAGGAGAATATTAAGGAGTCGCAGTAACTTAAATCAGTTAAGCAGCTCAGAAAAATAATGTTATTTATAATAGTGAATGGGGTCTTTCGTACATAACCTAAAATTGATAGTGATAGGTTATCTTTGGATATATTTATCCTATTCGGGTTCGGTTTGAACAGCTGGCACGGTGCAACCATGCAGCTGTCTTATTCCATTTTTCTTTTTAGCAGTTGTGATTGTGATTATGAATAAACTTCATGTAGTTTTACAAACTCATCTGCTGGAGCTAAACAACGATTATGTTTTCATAGCACCCCACCTCCAGTTTTACAGTAAGTAGCATTAATACGAATGTTTGGTGGCGTCATTGAACATTAAAATGAAATTATATGGTATGTTGTCTCACGATTGGCTGTTTTTATGTTTCCAATAAACTGTTATTGTATGCATCTTAGGTGAGAGCCCCAACAAAGCTCTAACAACATGTACTAATTTTTATATAAGTTCACACAAATTACTACAAATTACTGCAGTACTGTTCGCACTGGGTGGTGTATAACTTCCGTGAAGTTGGCATCCCCACAATCTTTCTTCTATAACTTAAACCACTGGAAACTAACGATGGTGTTTAGAGCATTAACCAGCACTAACACTGGGTACTATTTTTTTAGTGCTCTATTGGGGAGGGGGAACTTCATGGACCAGCCTGCTTCTCCAATGTCACTTTCTTGAAAATTCAGATCTGTTTACATATGGTTTTGTAAAGATCCGTTAGACTTTTTCGTGTTTCTGTTGAGAAAATAGGGTATAGTTCGGCCGCTTAGAAAACGACCTGCGCGCTAATGCTAAACCAATGCTGGAGGAGGTCGTTTTCTAAGCGGCCGAACTATAGTGTAATTGTTATGATGGTGTGTGTTAAGCATGTGTTCTAAGCGAGCTTTACCACATTACCTTTTTTCTCGGAAATGCTATAATCATAATGCTACTGCTTGACATACAAAGCGTTTTTGAAAAGTTAACTTTGAATAAAGCAAAGTTAATTCAGGGAAGTGCGTAGTAAAGCAAAAGTTTGTGTAGCAAACTTGCAGAGTTCTGTTGAGTGCGTCAGTTGAAAGTCTACATGAAACTAACATTATGTGTTCTACTGTCAAAGTTGAAAACAACTAGAATAAATAATATAAACCTGTTTGTTATTATGATGCTAGATTTTGTGGTCAAAAGTTTAGGAAATTGACTGTATATATTTGTGTTGATTGAAGGACACATGTCACAAAAGATGTTTTAACTTGAGACAATTACAGTAATTTAATCTGACTTTCATATTAAATTTTTCTCTATCAACTAAATCATGCACATTGCGATTGCACACAGTGGATATCAAACAACCCCAAAACAGTTGTTTTTCTGATGGTATTACATTATGAAGGATGCGATGAAAGTTTTTTTTACCAAAGACGCCATAGGCACGAGCCCAGGATTGTTTTTCATATTACTTCAAGTTAGACCTTAGGGGTTGCAGCATTAAAACTTAGATAGAATCCATCTGTGGTGAAACATTGCCTTAACCATTAAATTTAAATAACGTAAACTTTTAAAAATTTAAAAAAGTAAGGTAAATAACTCCTTCGCGTTGACTATAGATAACTAAGTATTCCGTGAAATTACCATAGAATAAATAAACGTATCACTCCGTCTAACAAAATAGGTAGTATATTTTGTTGAAAAATTAAATGTTATTTTGGACAGTTTCAAACAATTGCGTTCCAGGAGCATAAGAGGTAAAACATTTAAGCATGTACTGTGGGTGTTTTTATTATTTGCCTTGTAAACCAATAAATTTTTATTAAAAAAGCTTAAATTCAGATTATTATTTTAGGTTAAAGTCTTACGAAATATATAATCATAGCTAAGAAACATTTCAGTACATGATTGTCAATATTGTCTTTAAAACAAAATTCATTGTCTATGACGATGGTAATTTTTTTAGCTTCCATTCCATCCATGCTGTTGGATTTGTAATAGAATATTTTTCAAATATGTATAATGTCAATCCATAATAAATTAAACATTTAATTTACGTTTGGCTTAAAATTTATCGTAACTTTTAAAATGTATACGTTAGTTATTTTATCTACTTTAAACATTAATATATTAGATTTAAAATCGCTCTTGAGTTATTCTCGCACATAAAAATTGAAACATGGAACATTTTGATTAAATCTGTTAATTTTAATGTGGTAATCATGAAAGAGCTTGTCAAATGAAGAGACAGATAATGTTTAAGATAAACTAACGAAATGCGTGACGGATTTTGTAAAGAGCATTAATCCGCCCAAAGAAGCTCAGCAGAGCGGAAAGCTTACGGTCCAAAACCTTTCCTGAATGAAAATTCTAAGAAAATACCGTCATTTTGCTTATAGAAATATCCATTGAACGAAAAATAGTTTTGGCATAATTACTTTCTTTAGGTAACGGATTATTTCTTCTATGGCTTCAGAGAGACTTGAATTTTCCTGTAATTCTTTTAATACCAACTTGACAGTTTTTAATATTGGAATGTTAGAAAACAAATGTAGGCCAACTAAGCTAAATACAACACATTTCTTTAGGATTCAGAAAAAAATATATTTAAAGTATTTTTTTTTTTACCAGGGATTTCCGTAATTAACAATAGTCCTATATAAATTTATTACCCTTCTTCATTAACTTTTATACAACGTTAAGGTAAGTTACTGTTGTGTGGACGTTTTTATGAAAAAAAATCAATTTGATCAAATTTAAACATAATTTTACGAAATTAAATATCAATTCATAAACTATTCATAGAACTCATGTACCCCCAAAATAAATAACTATTCGTAAAATCTACATTTTTCACTCCACTGCGTTCAAACGACCAACATGAAGTACACAATTGTATAATCAAATTAGATCACTATCAGATCGATTCTTTAAGAAATCATTTATAATCATATTATTACACAGTAAATAATCATAAATAATGTTAAAACAGCTAATAATTTCCGTAGTAGCACTCAACATTGTGTTAGATCTAGAAAATAATCAGTAAAGTCCAATTTATTCGCTACAAAACCCTTTCAACGGAGTGGTTTAATCTTCTGTCTGCTAGCTTCAAGCCAATATAAATGTTAAGTAGAGGTTCACCTATTTGTTAATAGTGGGTATTTTATATGCTAAGGTTTTAAAACTGCTAACATTTAAGTGGGACCTGGTTATAAATATTATTTTAAAATACCAATGAATAGTTGTTTTAATAATATCCTAAATTGCATAAACTTAAAATAACTAAAATTGAATTTTGAACAACGAGTAGTAAAAAATATTGCTAATGAGTTTGAGTTCAAATAAATTAATTTAATCCTGTAAGAAGTCCATAAAATGATCAGCCTAAAATGAATTCCCACTTCACTAATCCCTATATCAAGCGTCCAGACACGAAATGTTTGTCCTCAATCTGAATCTGGGGTTGTGAATGGTTGGTACTAAAAATATTGTATGGTTATGAATAAGCACTGTATTCAGCACCTCGCCAGCAATCCTACCATAATAACCTGCCATCTGCCATCTTTTATACAGTAAATATACAAATAAGTAATTATTTATTCAAACATATTTGAAAATATAATTAATAGTCTTTAAGTATAGTTTAGTCCTTGCCGTTACATATAGTAAACTTCTCAAGTCCAAGAATGTAATTAAATGTAATGTAAATGTCAAGTAAATGTAATAATTAAGGGGAATAACGAACGTCAGTAGTCCACTATTTAAATACAGTTTGAGTAGCATTGTTTGATTTGACTTCGTCTTGTAAATTATGACAAAGTAAACGTTCTGTTCCATGAAATATTTCAACCAAATTACACTTGTTATTTGGGAAATAATTAGAAATCTAACCAAGACCAACCAATTCTCTTGCAAACTTTTCTTAACAAAAGCTCACTAGATGCTGTAGGGATAAACTTTACAATCACAATGAAAACTTTATGTATTACTTTGTTGTTTATTCACATTTCTCTTTCTTTGAGACATGCAAGAGAATATTCAATGGATCAGAGTGTTTGGAACAACAGTGCTAAGGTAATACACAATTACTTTCACTACAATCATACAATAGGGGTGTTTATATCCAATGATGATATGTTAGACTCAATCGTAAACTATTTGAATTTGCCTACGATTATATATGATCAAGAGTTTATAATTACAAAGTGTTCAACATCTGATTTAGATTTTGATGGGTATATAATCACCATAAAGAACATCTCATCGGATTTGTATCAAATCAACCAGTTGTTGAATTGTTTTAACAAAACTACACTGAAAGTTAATACTAAAAAAATAGTTGTCATCACATTGACAAGTCTGGACCCTCAAGAAGAAGAATCAATTGTTTTGGAATATTTCCATTCGGTTTGGATGAGCGCGAAGGTTATCAACATGATCTTCGTGGAGCAGAAAGAATCGGAAACGATTGTGTTGGCTTACAATCCTTTTTTGGCCGATCATCCAGTTAAACCAGGAGTTTTGATGAAACTTGATGCAAATGAAGACCTAAACCTTCAACTGCAGAAGAGGTTTCGCAATTTACACGGATACCCAATCAGAACTTCCATGTTTCCTTTCATGTTAGGTGTTCATCCATTGCTGATGAACAGTCCTGGGAGTATTAGAGGAGGTGCGGATCTCACTCTTCGTTGGATGATAGAGGAGTACTTCAACACAAGTCTTGTGGTACAAAAGCCCACGACCGATCAGCTACACGGCTTTTTCAGAAACGGAGTGGCCTACGGTGCTTTGAAAGAGGTTCTTGAAAATTACGTAGAATTCGCTGTCAACTCCAAGTTTGTTGAGTGGTACGGGACTCCGATGGTGCAGTTTGTGTTTCCCAGGAAGGAATCCAAGATGGTCATCATCACTAGGAAAAGAGGAAGAGTAAAAGGTTGGAATCTTCTTTTACACATGTTCCAACCAGATGTCGTGGTGTGGTTCACATTGTCTTTCTTAGTCTGTTGTATATTCTCTCTTTACATAATGAAGATCAGTAATAAGTTCAAGGCAAATAGGAACAAAGATTTATATT